CGATCTGGGAAGTTGAAAAGAGCTGTTGCTCCTCAATAATAATTTTATTTTAATTCGACTTCAACTCGGACGCATATACTCAAACTACAGGATAATTAAAACTTCTACGGTTTTGAAGAAAAGCATAAAACCAATCTCTGAAAAAGTGAGATATAACAAATTAAAAAAAGTGTAAAAGCAAACCTTGAAATAACAGGCAGCACAAATTATTGAACCAGACGCAACAACAAAAACAGCAAACTTCACCCCAAAAATTAGTTTTATACGACGAAATAAAACTAAATATCAGTGTCCCCAAGGATATCGACCTCGAGTTATTCAAATCTCTACGAAAATTTGACGGTAGCTATAAAGATCTTCCAGAATCATCCAAAATATTATAGCGATCTGGGAAGTTGAAAAGAGCTGTTGCTCCTCAATAATAATTTTATTTTAAATCGACTTCAACTCGGACGCATAACTAGCCCTTAGCATATTTCTACTTCAATGTGCTTGGCAATGGCAATTTACCAGATTTTTTGGGTTGTCAAATAAATTTATTTCACTAGAAAAACAGTTTTTCAAAAAACGAAATTCAAATTAAAGAAGCAAAAGATTTTATGAAGGAACTGTGAAACGCTATGTAGATGACCAGTTTGCGGAACAATTCAGAATGAATTACAGAACATTTCAAGTGAAATGTATAAATTAATTTTACTTAATAACTTCAATATTCGCTTTAACATTTGCATCTACCGCAAAGTTACTTCGATTTCATTTGTGGATTTTTAAGGTAATACAATCAACATTTGTACAGGATTTGTGCCATCATTTACATACACACATATGTCACATATGTCACATATGTCACATGTGCCACTCAGCGACATCAATTTTCAAGGGATCCATACTAATTTTACATATACATATATAATTATTTTCTCCAACCGGTGCGGTCGTGTGATGACCAAAAATCTAATTTGTGAATTCATTATTTTATTCGAATTTTACTCAGCATATATATTAGTGACTTTATAAATGTTGAAATACAGTCCTGTAATTATTATTGAATTATTTAAAGTATCTCATTTCTGTCATAGTAGTTTCACTTGCTGTTGAACTTTCAAAGAATAAATACCTATTTGTAAACGCTAAGTGGAATCTGTATGATTTGTAAAAAGAAAGAAAGCCAAGTCGAGTGTATAAGTTAACACGGTATACGCCGAAATACCTTTCCCACGATCTACCTTAGCTTAGGCAACAAAATAACTTTCACAAACAAACGACACCACACGCGCAATTGCCAAAATGCTGACTCCACACTGTCGCCGCATGAGAACGTCTGGCCAGCCAGCCCACAACAACAACAATGTGCAATTGCACCTGCTTTCCAACGTGACTTACTAGCATAAATTAGCTGTAAGACCAAAAATGTAAGTTATTTCTAATTTTAATTTTAATCAATTAAGTGAGCAACTCGCTCGTAATAAAAACAAAAACTTGTTTTTTTTTTTTAAGAATCTATTAATAAATAGATTAACTGGCGATCAACGTAGATTAACCCAACAAGCCAGTCCGATTGTAGTGGAATAAAAAAAAAAATTAAAAAAAATAAAAAAAAGTGCGAAAAAAAATAAAACGGGAAGTTCGTCGCGAAATTATTAAACCCGGCTTTCACGAAGAGCCATCAAGAAGTGCCAGGACGCGGCAGGACCCTTAAGTGTTAAAATCCAATACCACACCCCACGGAATTGTGGCATCGTTGGACCGGAGTAGAAAAGCAGTACAAAACGGAGCAGCCCAGCAGTCACATGTGGGACAAATTAGGATTTATGTAAGCATAGACTAAGACATCAAGTGAGGAATGGAATACTCTTCATGAGATTCATCGGCCAAAGGAGCTAGTGCGGAAGGTCACCTTAGAAAGGCCAAAGTGTTACAGGAAAATTGTTAACTATAGGTTTTAAGGCCCGAAAGCCAGAAATTTATATACAATTTATTATTTTTTTACAAACTTTATCCTTTTTAGAGCAGCCATGGAGGATTTACGTAGTACCGTTACCAATTTGACTGGCGCCGTGAACGCCATTCTGAATATTGGAACAGATAAAGACCAAGTGATTGTCTATATTAAGAAATGTATTTTAAGGCAAACATAATTATATACACGCAAACATACATAATTAGATTAGGGAAATAGTTTTAAGAAATTGGATATATGTAAGAATCTTTAAATTTTGTAGTAGCTTGCTTCCCCCACCAGTAAGTATTTAGACCTTAACATATACGAGTATTGGTACATACGAGCCTCACAAGAGCTCAGTTAAGGTATAGTAGGTCTCTAAAGAAGACCATTACCAAGAAGAATTAATTTATGTTAGTCTGCTCACATTAACAAATACAAATAAGCTGTAAGCTGTGTCAGACAGCAAGCTGGTTATCACAAGCATGTGACTTGCTGATAACATGCGCGAATTGCGCAGTATTAAATAAATGTATGGCTCACGTTGTGAGCACATGCTAGAAATTGTGTATAAAAGAGTTTGAACTGAGCAAGATATGGACGTAATTGGTGAATTTGTAAGCTGCGCAAAAAAAAGCGAAAAAAGCCTTACACAAGAGGAAGTGCCCTTCAAACAAGTTGTGTTGTTGGAGAACTTACAGCCTGTTGAAGGCGCGAAATATTCAGGCGCATCTATGGAGGGAAGAGTTGTACTACGGGAGCTTGGGCGAAACATAGTCTGGCCAGCGTATTTGTCGAAAAGATTCAAATTGGCTGGAGTAGAAAATAGTCTAAGTCTGCAAACGAAAAGTTGACAGTGCCTACAAGTTCAAAAGAGCAGGAGTGTGTGTCATTTGTACAAGAAATTGATTTTGAAAAAAAGGATATATTGGTTTAAAAGAAGAATATGTATTTAAGAGTTTTCTTTGGATCGGCATATGTAACACGAGATCAAGCAGTGGAATAGGTTGAAATTCAAGTGTTTCCATTTAAATCTAATATAGATTCTACTAGTAAACTATTGTAGTAAACTGCATTGTCATTAGGTCACAAAATCTAAATCAAAATATTTTATTTGCTGTGTTGACATAATTTTCATATAAAATAAAGCAATGGAAGAGGAAGATGCAGCTTTTTCGTCAATTTTACAAGAAATTGATTTAACAAAAAAGGAAATATTGGTTTAAAAGAAGAATACGTATTTAGAAGTTTTCTTTGGCTCGCCGTATGTAACACGAGAAATGGCGAAAATCGTGAATAAAGAAAACAGTATTGGGAGTAGAAGTGGAGTTTCCTCCGAGGGCTACAAGGATTTCAAACCCCAAAAATCATATGATATTATTAGCCAGATATTTTTTTTTGTTCATCACTATTCATAATATTCTAACGTGGACAGAATGTTGAAACACCCGTCATGTTTAGCAAGGAGTGAACTAGGTTGATACTCAAGTGTTTCCATTTCAATCTAATATAGATTCTACTAATAGCTGCATTGTCATTCAGGTCACGAAATTTAAATCAAAATATTTTATTTGCTGTGTTGACATAATTTTCATATAAAATAAAATAATGGAAAGCTATTTTTTTTATTGATTTTGCATGAAATTGATTTCGAAGAAAGGAAATATCAGTTTAAATGTAGAAGACGTATTTAAGCGTTTTCTTCGGCTGCTAAAAACCCTATACTGGGAATTAATTCAAGAATTAAAGTCAAATGGAAATCGTTCCGGTTACGTTTGAGCTGCGCGTAACTTAAAACCCAGTGTAAAATAATTTTACAAAAGCGCGGCATTAGTGATACAAGAATATTTGCCCGCTTATGAGCAACAGTTTAAGAGCACCATTCTTGAGAACAAATATCGCTAATCGATGAGTCAGCATATCACAACCGAAAAAAAATTCTCTTATCAGATTATTTATAATAAATAAAAAAATTGCCGCATACGACACTAAAGTACAGTTTTTACAAAATGGCCTCGCCGGCTCCTAAGTCGGTGAAGTGATTTCCTGATTCTACGAGTTGTCGAGCAGTGGAGGATTATCCAAATTAAATTACATAGGTTGAAAATTTCAAAACAATGAAACAAATTTAGATAGCGCAGCAGGGGAAAGTAATGGTATCCTAGTGCCAGATACAGAAGTAACAGAAATAAAATTGTGAAGGAAAAAGAATGTCCGTTATTTTTTAAAGGAGAAATTTAACACACATATTAGCAAAGACAAAATATGATGACAGACTTGACTCTGAGCATTCAAATCGAAGACATGAAAATTAAAGACTCTGACCAAATACTGGCTTTCACTAGAAAAGACAGCACAATTAGCATGTACGGTACCACAACCACAACGAAATACCTTAGCACATCGTGCATAACTATTCGAAACTGAACTGTAGACTTTTACATCCCGATTAGGGCGCCCCAATAGTCGTGTAAAAGCCTTGCCTAAGCTATGGCAAGACATAATGTGCAGACTCTGCTTGCAATACCATTCATGCTAACACAGAGAGAAAGAATCAAGGATAAATAGAATATAGACAGTAAAGAAACATTCAAGGGAGCAATTTCCGAATCAATACTTCCCAAGAAATAACATGACCAGTATACTTGTGGCAGATGACGAGACATTATCCATGCCATAAATATTCGAGTACCAAAAAGGTTTGATATCACGACTCGAACCATTGAAAGTAAATCTAAAGAAATGTCTAATGACTTGTCGGTCATTAAAGGACAATTCGATTCTCTGATTGCATATAGAGACAAATCAGAGATCTAACATTTTAGATTAAATTTTAAAAATTTTAATATAAATCAAAAGAATAAACAGTAAATAAAAAAAAACAATGAAGAAAAAAATAGGTAACATAAAATGCAAAATAAAATTAATTAAACGAAAAATTAAATAAAAAAAAGATTAATTAAAGAAATAAACAAATAAAAAAAAAAATAAAAAAAAATTAAGAATAAGAAATAAATAAATAAAAAATAAATTAAAAAATAAAAACAAACCATGAAACTCGTTGGCGGTACAAAAGTTAACTTATTTTAATACTAATCCAATATCCTATGTATAAGTATTACACTTAAATAGATGTAATCATAATTTAACTTACGCAGAAGTACAAATTATTATAGATGCTTTGTAGTAAGTAAACGGTTGAATTATGAAGCCTTCAATGTAGAATGTATGTCGTGAGTGACACAAGTGTAAGCATGGAATTGACCAAATTGCTTTATTCACAAGAAAGCTGTTAATACATATAAAAGTAATTATAATATTTATATATTACACATATTAAACTATCACTTACCATTTGCATCGTCCTCCTCCTCTTGCGATGCATTATTTTTCTGTTTCGGTACGGCCTCGTGTTTTCGTTTTCTATGAGAATACAAATCGCATAGTCGATAAAATCGGTCGCCGCATACTTTGCATTCATATTTCTTAATATCCGAATGTAATTGTTTGTGCCGAAATAGTCCATGTGTATTTGTAAATCCTTTTCCACATATATCGCAGATTTTATCACGTATATTTAAATGAGCACGTATATGATCGTCGAGCTGACGTTTGCGTACGAAATCTTTAGGACACATGGTACACTTGAAACGTCGCAAACGTTCATGGATAACCTTTACATGCTCCGTCATTTGATTTTTCAGTCGAAAACCCTTGCCACAATGTTCACAAACACTTTTATGCTCACCAGTGTGTACCATTTGATGCATTTCCATATCACGGCGATTTGCAAAGCCCTTACTACAATATGGACAGAACCATTCGAATTCTTTTGTATGTGCGCGTACCTCATGCTCTTTTTTCAAACTTGGGTGAGCAAAACGTTGTTCACAATAGTCACATTTAATTGGTAGCTCGCCAATACTATGCGATTTTAACAAATGTGTTTGTAGTGTTGAATAGCTACGAAATATTTTTCCACATATATCACATTGTAAGTTATTCGAGTTTTCCAGAAAGCTACAGCGCTCAAATAATTCTAACTCGTATGGTGCCATCGATTCATTTAGTTGTTTTTTACATTGCAAGATCTTATAATGACGTTTCAGTCGTGATATGGAATGATAAATTTCATCATTACTGAATTCTACATTGTAGATCTGTAGTAAATTTTTTGTAATTTCCTCATAAGCCACTTTACGTGCATTCAAAATAGAATACTGAGAATGTGTTCTATCCCACAAGACAGGATGCATGGCGCAGAAGTCGATAAAGCCAAGTGTAAATTCATCCATTACGGAGAATGAGATTTTCTACCGAAAAAAAAACAAAGGTTTTACAATAATTTACCTAAATCTTCTTATATTATGTGTCCCACCCCTTGTAGGTGCCTACGTTTAACAGACACATCCTCCAATTCTGCAAGAGCCAGAAATTCGCAGCGTTCAAAATAATATTTGCGATTGGGATTAAGGCTTTGTCGTGCACATAGACATCTTTTGTAAAACTTGTATACACGATTTATTTCAGAATTAATTTTTCTTTCGGTAAGTCGCAGATTATAGTTGTTTTGAAAAAAGTCCTGCAATTTTTTTATAGCTTTTGAGTGCAAGTTTGAGTCATTACATGCAGAAGCTTGCGGATCCCATAAGCAAGGCTGATCATGCAAACATTGTATGAAATCAGATGTAATCTTATTACGTGTTGAAAATTTTACAAGTGATTGCTGAAAAGAAAGCCAATACGCATTGATTCAATTGCCATAAAAATAAGTATTATAATTTAGCAACATACATACTCTATCGATCAAACTATTTTGAAAAGCTTCACCATCCATTATGTCAAAACCATTTTGGGAATCTTCGATACTATAATTTTCCAATGTAAACTTGAAAGTTGTATAATAATATAGTAGCATTTAATATAACATTTAATAGTTTAAAAAACTAATGAAATTAAATTAACGACTAAACAACTTCAATTTATGTTTTACCTTATTATCATTGCTATCACTAATTGTTTCGCCACTTTCACTATCATAATTAGCCTCAGATAACTCATTACTCGTTTTCAAAAATGAACACATGTCGTAATATTTCTCTTCAATATCAGAAATTTCTATACCTTCTTCTAACCTACTGGCTATAGTACGGTATTGAAGGTGTACTTGATTTAGGGCTTCTTCTAAAATTTCCGTCGAAATTCGAATATTTTCTTCGGAAAGGCATTTCCGCATATCGTGCATATCTTGACTTTGTGCGTTATCTTCATTCGAAATAACTTGTTCTAAGCGCCAAAGATGTGAAAATTTTTTATATATTTCAATAAACTTCTGAGTTATGTAATTTTCCTCTTTTAAATCAATATGAAGCTGAAAATTTCAATTTTTTTTATTAGATAATGTATATTCTGGAAATGTACTCGTAGTTTCCTCTACTTACTTTTGTAAAATTTTGGCATGCATGTGGTAATGCTTCCGTGAAATCTGTAAAGTCGTGCAATGAGTCGTCCAAATTCTCATTCATTACTTCGCTTATTGAAAATACAGATTTTTCTACAGCAACTTTGGTATTCGTTCTGTCATTGACATCTTTTTCAATTAATACGTCCTCTATATCGAAAATATTGGTAGATGGCATGACATCTTCCTTTGCAAATATATCTGTTAATCTATCACATTGAGTTGAACATTCAACATTTTCCGAATCTGGATCCAGTGTTTCTTCAGCACAATCAAACAGCCATTGGGTCTCAGACTGATTGTCTATGTGGAAGTCCTTTAAATGTTGCAAAAACATGGTCCAGTAACCATATTTTTTATCGCAATAAAGACATTTTAATCCGAAAAACTTGTATTGGCTTGTAGCCAATATATAACCACATGGTTTAAGCTCAGCCAAGATATTTTCGTTGCTCATTTCAAGTCTTACTAATTTATCCAGTCAAATATCTTGGATGCAGTAATGCCGTTTATGTTCATGACTCTTATACAAATTTCAGTATGAACCACATTTTAATATGATGTACTTTAAAATAAAAATGGCGGAAAAAGTAGATGTAGTAGTAAAGATGTAAGTAATATATCGATATTTTTGCAATAAATCGTTATTGAATATAAATTTATCGATGTTATTTGATACAATTGTCCTATTTGCTGAAAAAATACCTTCAAATTATTATAAATAACTAAACTTAAGAATGTGATGACTCTAGAATTTAACTGATTTTTCTAAGTCAATTTGATTTGTTTGACATACAAGTATGGAGTGCAGACAATACTCCTCATAATTATATAGTATGGAAAACTGAGTGTGTTAATGCGAAAAAGTTTCCCTTATTATTCGATTTGTGGATATTTGGATAAAACAGATATATATTAAAAAGTATTTCGTTCTATCATAATAATTTATATGTATGTCATTAAAAATAAATATCATAAAATATGTATTCAAAATCTTATGGGCATATTATTTCAGACTCAAAATATATGTATATGTACAGTTTTCTTAAATGTTTTTTTGCTTCCTGTACTCTCAGAATTCAGCTAGTTTCTCGCATTGGATCTTCTTATTTTCAGAATTTATATGTTACATTTCGTTATGGTTATAAAACTATAATATTGAACAAGCAAAAAACTATCATTTTTAGATTTTCGTTGTGGCTGCCCTCGGTTTGTTTTCCTCTGTAGTCAAATTTTATGTGTCAAGCAAGGTTAATTAGGTTTTATGCAAGTCGAATTTATAGAAGGTGAAGTTGTCCGATCATATGATTGCTTGTGCTTCCTCCCATTTAAACAAATTACACAAACAAAATACATGGGGAATAGGTTTTAATACTTCGAACGTTCGTTTACACAAACAAAATGCATTGAACGATTTTCGTTTTTGACTTTTCGAAACTATGACTACACAAACGAAATACATGAATTTTTTGTTTTTGTATTCTTGCTACAACCGCGTGTGAACTTGGTTTTATTCCAATTGGCCTTAAATGTTTTGTATCGTTCAGCTTATTATTATTTTGAGAATGTTATACTTGGCACCTCTAAGTCATTCAAGTTGGCGCCAAAAAAAAAAAAGAAAACCAAAGAAATTGTGCTGTCTTCTTAGAGAATTTGGGAGCGTAGTTGCTCCAATTTTTAATCCATTTGCTGAATTTGCATTTAATAAATTTTAAAATATGGTACTCAAAGAAAATAAGCCAAAAGGGCTGCCAGTTGTCAAGTGGATCGGAAGTCATACTGATATAGTAGTAGACGAGCCCAGGTTGGCACACAAAGAAGTGAATTTTTATCAAAAGTGCATCTTTGGTGATTTAACACTTGGTTTGGGTGACTATGTACTCGTCTCGAATGCTGATGCTGCCGAGCCCGACACAGTAGATGGCTGTGATATAGCTAAAATTATACATTTATACGAATTGCGTGGTAGTGTTGACCGAGATCCCTATCGCGCCATTGTACAATGGTATTCACGTCCTGAGTGTGTGCCTCACAAAGAGTTCGATCGAGACGATATATGCATTGATTTCAATGCGGAAGTAATAGAAGAGCATCGTCCATATGATGCAGATATTTCATTAGAGACTATTTTTAAAAAATGTGTTGTTCTATTTGGTGGTACTGATGAGTCTGCCAATGGCATTTTACACAAATACGACGCAAAACGTAACAATATTCCAATGTTTGTGTGTAGATATAAATTCATTAAGGATAAAAAATCCTACAGACTTGTGCCGTTAGAATGGAACACCAATTTAACTGGGTCCACCGAGGAAGCAGAAAATAAACGTGGTAGAAAAAAAAGCTACACGGACGACACACCAAGTACTAAGGAAAAGAAAACGAGAGTTGCTAGAAGTGCCTCAGCACGTAAGGAAAAGGTTGAAGGCAATGTAGCTATTCGGAAACGTAGAGCATCCGTGGCTGCTGCCGCAGTGGAATTCATAGACTGTAATGGGTTCAAAGATAAAGTGTCGCCTATTAAAATAATAGGTGGCAAAAATGTTGTACGTTTATCAGCGAAAAAAATATCAGCACCAATTGATAGAAATGATAATTATGCACCCACATCACCGCTCATGGAACGCAACAGAAAAGAAACAACGCCGAAAGCGCGTGTAGCGTCTGCACGCCGCAACCTCAATTTAAGTTTGGATAATGGCGCTGATACCAGTGTAGATTCAGACTGTCTAAATTATTCTATAGTTAAAACACCAACAAATTCAGATTCAACAAACGATATGAAAATAAAACTGAGGTTATCTGGAAGGTAAGCATGATTAGGGTAGAAAAAATATTTAAAAAATTTATGAAATATTAATATGAATTTATTACTTTTTAAGACATCGAATTTCAAAGCTTGCTGCCATGGATGAACAGTTCATCGATCCCCTTTCGTTAAATGTTGAAATTGAGAGAGCAATCAAAAGCACGCCAGATGAAATGTATTCCACACCCACGAAGAAATCAAAGAGAATTAGCGAAGAGGCTGAAATAACACCATCCACGCGTCGTAAAAGTATACTAAAATCGGCCACAAGGCGGCAGGGTAAGAGTCATATCAACTTTATTTTAATAAAAAAGTAACAACATATGTACAACATTCACTTTAATAGGTGATAGTACGCCAAAACGTAGTATTCAGTTATCGGATATAGTGGAGAAACGTGTATTCAACAATGAAGATGCCATTTCTACACCCAAACGTAAGCCCAAGGGTGATGATAATGATATAAAACGTTCGGCTTTAAAAAATTCTGCAATAATACGTCGGCGTAATTCTACCACTGCTGTCGCTGGTGCTATGACACCTACACAAAAACTTAAAATGTTGCGTCGCGGGGAATTATCACCAACAATGGAAAACAGATCAACCACTGCACTGTCAGCTTCAGTAAAGTCTAAATCAGATTTACAGTTGGCACGGGAACGCTTGCATGTTTCTGTGGTGCCGCAAAGTTTACCATGTCGTGAAAAGGAATTCGATAATATTTACGCATTTTTAGAAGGAAAAATTCAAGATCAATGTGGCGGCTGTATGTATGTATCCGGTGTACCCGGTACGGGTAAAACTGCAACAGTTACAGGTGTCATACGCATGTTGCAGCGTCAACAACAGGCTGATGAGTTGCCATCGTTTGATTTTGTCGAAATTAATGGAATGCGTTTGACTGAGCCACGACAGGCATATGTACAAATTTATAAACAATTGACGGGTAAAACTGTTTCATGGGAGCAAGCGCACTCGCTGCTGGAGAAACGTTTCACTACGCCGGCGCCACGTCGTGTTACTACAGTATTGTTGGTGGATGAATTGGATATATTATGCAATCGGCGGCAGGATGTTGTTTATAATTTACTCGATTGGCCCACCAAATCCGCTGCACGTTTAGTTGTGGTGACTATAGCTAATACAATGGATTTACCAGAGCGTTTGCTAATGGGTAATATATTGGTTTATGAATATTGTAAGTTTATTTATTTAATATTTTTCTTAACCTCATGCTATAGGCAAAGTTACTTCGCGTTTAGGCTTAACGCGTCTCACCTTCCAGCCATATACACACAAACAATTGCAAGAGATTGTTACAATGCGCTTGAGCGGCTCGGAGGCATTTAAAAGTGATGCAGTGCAACTTGTTGCGCGGTTAGTATAATTTAAAATATATAAATGCAAATTAATAACATTTATGTACGGCTTTTAGATTATAATTTTTTTCTTAATGAAATTTCATTTTATTTATTTAGTTTTGTTATTTTTTAATGTTTTTCTATGTTTTTACAAAGAAACATTGTACATATGTACACTTGTCCAAATTTGTATATTTGTTTGTACACTGAATATTTGTTTCCAGTTTTGTCAACATTATGCATATATATAACATTTTTGTTATTGGTTATTTTCTGTATTTTGATTAACTTTTTCGTTCATGTATATTTTGAGCATTTTGTAAAATTGTTTTTCATATTTTTTAAATTTTTTTATAAACTGTTTTTAACTATTTTTTAATTTTTTTAATACATTTTTGTTTTTTAAATTGCTTATTTTTTATATTTTTTAATTTTTTTTACTTTTGTTTTTATGTATATTTTTGTTTTTTTTTTTTAATTTTTGTTTTTCTTTTATATTTTTGTTTTTTTTTATGTTTTTTTATTTTTGTTAAAATTTAAAATTTTTTTTTAAATTGTTTTATATATACTTTTTAAGTTTTTTTTTTTAATTTTTGTTTTTTATAACTTATTTCATTTTCATTTTTTATTTTATCTTTATTATTACTATTTTAAATTGTTTAAGTTTTTTAGTTTTTTTATATATATTTTATTTCATATTTTATAACATTTTTTTTTTATTTTGTTCTTATTTTATTTTATTTTATTTTATTTGTATTTTCCCATACAGCAAAGTAGCTGCTGTATCTGGTGATGCGCGCCGTGCCTTAGATATATGTCGTCGCGCTACTGAAATTGCCGAAGCTGCCATTCTTCCAAAGGATAGTGATCACGTTAAGTCCACAAAAAAATTCGTTAGTATCGCTCATGTACAACAAGCTCTTTCTGAAATGATTGCAAGCGCCAAAGTACAAGCCATAAAAAATTGCTCTTGCTTGGAGCAGATATTCCTGCAAGCTGTACTCGCGGAGGTGACTAGAACTGGTGTTGAGGAGACTTCATTTTTGGGCGTTTACTCACAAGTTGAAAACTTAGCTGCCTTTGAAGGTCTAAATATGCCTACGACAGGCAATTGTTTACGGATTTGCTCGAAATTATGCGCCGAACGCTTACTCATAGCTGAAAGTGGACGTAATGATATTTTTCAAAAAATTCTTCTCAACGTAAGTGTGGATGATATTCATTATGCGCTCCGTGTGAATGGAATTTAAGTAAAAAAAAGCATTATCATCATCATATTTTAATTTATCATTTTATTCTAAATACATTGATTAACAATAGTAATTATAAATTATATACACACACACACACACACTAAACTTATACACCGAATATGTACAAGCTAATTGTTGTCATTAAATATGTTAAGAAAAGTACAAATACTTTGTAATATTCGTAGAGCGCTTTCGGAGCGAATACTGAATAGATAAAAAGATGGTAGCGAAAGAATAGCAAGAGCCACAAATAAATTAAAACTGGTACAAATATGCTTAATGTATAGAAATAAAGTATGAAATTTATATGCTCACTAGCAGTTAATTCATTCGTTTTGGTGTTATCATTCTCTTGCAAAATGTGCTTAATTAAATATAAGATTGATATAAATTGTGCAGAATACATGTTCAGTGTGACAAGAACCCCAACTAAAACTGGATTATATGTGGTTTGACCGACGTAGCCAGGATTCAAATCGATTGTGGCAAAACTATTCGAGTTGCCCTGAAAAAGAATACGTTTTTTGTATTTATTAAAATTAACATATTTTTTTTTTTACTTGCCTGATAAAAGTAAAACATATTTGCTATGAGTATTGTACAGAGCAGCTTCGATAAGTATTTGTAAGAGTAAAGTGACTTATTCCACTCCAATTTGTCGCAAAATGTATAAGACAAAGAGAGCGTGTAGATTAAGGTAGCGACTAGCAAAGCATTATGTGGCTTGTGTAGCAACATAGAAATTGTAAGTAATAAGGTTAGTAGAATTCTAAAGCAGCTTGCTAAGATTGTATATAATTGGTAATTACGACGTTTGGAATTTAAAATCACAGCCGATAGGCAAGCGGCAGTTGTCACAACCAGCCAAAAAATATTTAAAATATTATTACTGAAATCACATTAAAAGAGAGCAGTAATTTAATATTTATATATAAATTGCTAAGCTTTAATAGCAATTACCAGCTTTTTGTGTCCAACACAGAGTAAACGGTGCCCTTAGCCCCACGATAACCATAAATTAGCAATGCGGCTAAAGCATAAAGCAGTAGCTCCTTGCGTGTTTGCACAAGTTTATGTTGAAATAAACACAGCACATACAACAGCAACGCTAGAAATAAAAGTATTAACTTTATAACATTTTAATTTAAAAACATATACATATTTCTTGTTCATACCTGCAGTGAACATACAACTTAACCATATTTTGCATTTCTGCTGATTGATGTAGAACGCAGCTTCATCTAACCGCACTAGAAACCCCAAGCAACCAATAACAATCCACGATGTGTGGATTTTTAAAAGTTTGAACAAAGCAACTTTATAGAAATTTATATTATTCACCCACGTGTCCAGTTTATAAGATCTTAAGTCTGTAAAAAAACTTTTTACACAAAGTAGAAACAAAGCGCTGGCGCCCAAATAATGCCAAGTTTTATTTTCATTTTCAATAAAGGACGAGGAGGCCAGCGATAACGTGTGAAATAAGAGGCAGCCTAAGAGGAAGCAAATTTGATTGGGCAGCGCTATTTTAAGGCCTTGGCAGCTTTGTAGGCGCCACAAAAATATGACAATTATGTTTATTAACAAATAAATGCTTGCCATTAAAGCGAGCACAAGTGCTAAGGTCGCTGTGAAACCGGTGGTAACAAAATAATGCTGGTAGTGGCACCATTTATTTATACAAGCCGCAAATGCAAGTAACGATAAGTATGTGCCGGTTCCTTGCATAAAAACGCATTCGGTTGATAAGCAAAACACTAGCAACGTATTTGACATTACCTATGTAAATACAATAGTAAAGTACATACTTTAATAGCTAAAAAAAAATATATATATATATATATAATTTTGTTACCAGTGTGGTAAGCAGCAGTCCCAGTGTGATTAGCCCATAATCGAATTGCACCAATGATGCAGATAGTTGCTGCGAAATTTCGCGAGACATGAGTAAATAATGTACTTTGGCATCTTCAAAAATAAAATTGTTGTCAAAATCATCATTACGCTTTGTTGAAAGAAATTGTTTATGCGCCGACTTGGCTGTTGTAAACCAATCATTAAATGCTGAAATAGTACAAAATCATCAGCTCAATAACATATGTATTTTGTTTGCAATTGATATTGGCACTCACCACTAGCTTCAACATATTCTTCACCGAAATTCTTATACGCTTTTTGCAGTAAATGTAAAGCATTATAGTAATAAGCATAAAGTTGGTCCTCCAAGGAAAATTCATCTAATAGCTGTGGTATTAAACAGCCTATTGACATTGGTGGTATTTCCATGGCCCACAAAATAGCCAATGTAGGTGCCAAATCAATTTGATTATACTCATTAGATTTATCAAAACTAAAAATCGTAAATGAAGGAAATAGTTTTATACAATTTATAGGACTTTTTCCATAAATTACCTTTTTCGACTGCAGTTTTGCTTTAAAACAAATAATGGCACATACATTTCACCAGTAGTGCTTCCACCATGACCACCACCGTCTTTCATGCCATGATCACCGGTTAAAAGCAGTAGTTGCTTGTGCAAGAGCTTTTTAAATTGAGTTATAATTAAAAATTCTACGTTTCCTATTACAATTTCTAAAAAAAATATATATAAAATTGTACCTGTTTTTGGTATGCTTTTTGCACTACTTCATCCATTTCTTTCAACTTCAAAGGAATTTTTGAACTTTCACTCCCTTCAACATGTCCAATGTGATCTAACCCTAGGTAATGGAGCACCAGCAACATCCAATCGTCGTTCCACAGCTCTTTATTTAGCACTGCAGTTACGTTCTTATCGCCCTAATAGACAGAATTGGAAATGTTTAAAATATATTAACACATTTATTAAGTATACACCAAATCACCTCGTAAAAGTCATTAACGAAAAACGAATCTGTATTGGCAGTAAAACGTTTGAACTGTTTTGGAAAAAGGCTGATCCATGTGCGATCACCAGCAAAAACCATATTTTCATTACGTCTATGCAAGCGATGCAATAATGAGTCTGATAATTGTTCTACATGACCAATGTTCAGAACAATATCAATAAAATTGGAAATGGTACCAGTTGTTAAACTCTTAAGACGTGGCATTGTCACCGTAGGAATGTTAACCCGCAACTCGAGACGGCTGCATGAGTTGTTGTAAGAAAATGGCATTCGATTTTGGGTAGGAAAATCAACTCGAAGCGCATCCACAACCATGAGAATAGTCTGTTCATAAAGTTGAGTAGACGGCTTTAAGCTGTACGATTTATAATTTGCACATTAATTAAAAATGTTGAATTTTCGCAGTTTACCTCACATTGTCCAGTTTATGTGGTCTCCTTACACCATCAACAGTCTCCATTGAATAGTTGTTTATTGGAAAGAAGCCAGTTAGAAAAATTCCTGCACCCCACATAAACGTTATTATCATCCATAGTAGAAATAGCCTAACGTCTCTTATTTTTCCTATATAGCACGACATATCCTTTGATAAATCATTAAATAGATGGAAAAGTGCACAAATTGTTTAGAAACTTGACTATGGTTTGAAATAAGCTCCAAAGTTTTCGTAGCCATGCAAAAATCGTTCACCCTGTATTTCAAATCAGCTGTTTGACTTATATTAACCCTCAAATTCAAAATAACAGGAAGTTATCGATGAAACCGTCGATTTATTAGTTGAACACCGCGAAAAAAATTGCCGTCGGTATTTTATAATAAATGATTGTTTTAGACTCTTTCGTTGTGTTTTCGAAATGCAAAAGGCATCCATTCATCCCATTATAACGGTTCGTAAAAATAATAAATAGCATTCATAGTAATTCGTGTTCGCCATTAACAGGTCTATTCTCACTGTTAAGTAAATTTTTTTAACTTATTTTTAACACCCGAAATTGAATTTGGTATTCTGGCGAACTGGTCACAAGGTTTAAAAAAAATTTGAGCAGCACTGCTTTGTTCGTCCTTGTCAAATCATACTTGCCAGTTGCTATAGTAAAAAACAATGATATTCACAACGAAACGGAAGACGATGATAAGATTTGAACTCAGAATACGAAAAAGTAACAAAATTTACTGACAAGCCTATTTACCTCGACAGAATGGGCATCTAAGTGGGAACACACAATGAGAAAATATTCGATGAAAATTAGTTGACTGATTTTCCCATACCTAGAAATTTGACAACTGTGTAAACTTAAAAGATTGTTTATCCTTCAATTACTTTTTCTTAGCAAAATGAATATTTGCGGGAATGTTTATGTCTCTAAAAACGTTTCAAAGTTTGCACTAAAATGTTTATATTGCGATGATGACATAGAAGATTGGGAGACCTTTGTTAGTCACATACAAAGTTTGCACAATTCGGACCTCGAGGAGCCATGTATCGATCCAATAGGCCAAATGGATTACAAAGAGGACAATGCTTTAGATTGGTTGAAAGATGAAGTGCCCATACCTGCTGTTGGTAACGGTGTTCAGTGGGATGAAACTCCAAATGCTCTAAAAATTGAAATTGCATCTGAAGAGGAAAACTCGAAAGCTGAAGCTGAGGTAAAAAGGTTTACGAAGCAACAATTTTTATATTGCTGTTAATTCGTTTTATTTTATTCTAAAAGTCAAGTAAAGAACCAGATTGGGACAATGATCAAGATGAAAACTTCGAGATAAATGATAGTAGTTCTGATTCCGATTCCCCAGATGAGAGCGTTCGTAAAACTAGAAAACGAAGTGCCAAAAAGGTTGAGGATAGTGATTCAGATGAAGATTCTCCCGATGGAATTGATACTAAAACAAAAACTGGATTACTTAAAACGGTTTGTGTATTAAATTTAAAAGTAAATTAATATCGTTAATAAATTTTTTTGTTTTACTTTAATATTTAGTTTAAGCCATCGTTTTATAGGAATAACAGAAATACAAACGTATTCTTGGACATGTATGAAAAATCTCCTTGTTTATGGAATCCAAAAGATGAGAACTACAACAATAATTCAAAGCGCGCTGAGTGTAAGGAAGAAATGATAAAAGAGATGAAAAGTAAATGTCAAATAGTTTTAAGCCATAAAAAATTGTGGGAATGTTTTCGAGCGTTATACACACTATACAAAACAATTGGAGAAGCTAAAGAAAACAAATCGGAAGCAAGATATAAAAAATTATCTCCAACGATACTGGCATATTATGATAGATGTTCCTTCCTTTCTGTCGCAGAAGAAGGCTTTCTCGATGTTTTTGACGATACGCCAAATACAGTTACGGTAAGTGCAATTTCATAAACAACTATTAAACAATAACAATAAAATAAATTTTCCAGAACTTAAGTGTTGCAACTATAAATTCCACAACAATAACGTTTGTAGAAGCATATAAACGTTTTACATCCCTTTATGATAATTCACATCCAGATTATAATTACGCATCTAAGCGCAGGTTAAGATACAAAGATATGGCTGATATTCTTAGGACGGAACAAAATGTAGAATTTACGGAAGATGATATTTATAAAGGAATCGATTATTTGCGTCATTGGTATTATAAATTAAAAAGTCGTCTCGGGAAGACATTACAATATCAAATGTTATCCAATGCTGCCCAATTTTATGTAGAGAAAATGAGTTTTCTACCAGAACGAGGCAACAGGCCAAAAATTAAATGTACAGAGTGTGACAAGGTGTTCCAGGGAAATGTAGCAAGAAGGATTCATCTTTACAAGGAGCATAAAATCGGTGAATTGCCCTACGCTTGCACGGAATGTAATAGAACGTTTAGCTCCCATGCGGCTATGAGTGGCCATAAGAAGAGAAATCATATGGAGAAAAAATTCAAATGCGAATTTTGCGATCGTTGTTATGCTATGCAAGGCGATTTAAATAATCACATGTCGTCACATACCGGTGATAAACCCTTCATATGTGAGCTGTGCGGTAAAGCGTTTCGCACGAGAACAAAATTGCGTTTTCATAATAATGCGATACATTTAAAGCTGCGTGAATTCAAATGCACTATGTGTACAAAAGACTTCTTAAAGAAACGCGATCTTAATGACCATATAAAGGCGCACCTCAATATACGTGATAAAATATGCGATACGTGTGGCAAAGGCTTTACAAACTCTCATGCGCTGTTACGTCACAAACAATTACATGCGGAAGTTAAAAAATTTGCTTGTAAGTTTTGTGACAAACGATTCTATCAATTTGTGGGCCTTAATTCACATATGAAACATAGACACGACATTTATAAGAACAGTCAAAAAAGGAAACCAGAAGAGATCGCTGAAACATCAACTCAGATGGCAATGATCATGCATCCCGGTTACAATATTCAGTAACCCTTTTAAGTTTAAGGATTTGTAAGAGTTAATTCGAATGTGTATTATCTCTACAAAAATTATTGCAATACTTTAAATATATTTCTAACAAATTATACTTATAAGTTAACATAATAAACAACCATACGCATAAAAAAATGCCATTATTTTTTTAAATAACTAATACTTTGTAATAACCTTTGGTGACAATGTTTTACGAGTGGAGTTGATTAATTAGCGATTCATTAAAATCAACAACAGGGTTAAAAATTGTCAATGGGTTTTTTGTTTACAAAACAAAATACTTACATATTTCACCGTCAACTTTTTGTTTACATGCTTCTTCTTATCGATAGGGGTGTATTCACAGCTGTCGAACTTTGACTACTGTGAATGGTAGATAATGTGTGAAAAATAATACACATCGCCAAATTTTATCGCCGATGATTTATGCAGTGAGGAATTTTATATAAAAAATGGATATTTGTGGAAATGTTTTGGTTTCAAAAGATGTACTCAACTTTGCGCTTAAATGCTTATATTGTGAAACGGATATAGAACAATGGGATGCGTTCGTTACACATATACAAAGTTTACACAACAACTACGAGGAGCCTTGCATAGATCCGCTGGTGGAATTGGATTACAAAGAGGACATCGTTGTCGGTTTAATAAAAGATGAAACGATGACACCGCTTGAAACAGGAAATTTGTTTAACAATGATTCTGATATGAAAATGGAGTTAAACACTGATGATGAATTTGTTAAATCTGAGGTATGTCGATAAGTCTTGAGGACAAGATCTTGTTTGTATCTTACAAATCTCCTTTCTCTTGTTAAATTGTAGCATGGCGAGGATACATCTTCTGATGTTGAACAAAGTCAGAATAATGACGCAGATTATGTAGATACAGAGACAGATTCGTCTGATGAAGAGGACAAGAAAGAAATGATACGCAACAAAAAGGTATATTTTCATAATTAAATAAAACAGACTTTTCCCACATAGTTTAATTAAAATATTTCGCTATTGCAGTTCAATCCAACATTTTATAGACGAAATGTTAATACAAACGTTTTTATTGAACTTTACCAAAACGCACCATGTTTATGGGATCCCAGTGATGAGCATTATAACAACAACGAAACACGAGAAAATAAACAAAAAGAAATAATTGATGAAATGAAAAAACGCTGCCAAGTTACATTAACTACCCCAACTCTCCGCAGCTCATTCCGAAAATTGTACCAACAGTATCAGGCCACCCTGCATGCAAAACAACAAAAAAAGTCAAAATCAAAATCTAAAAAGCTTCCAGCTTTAGTATTGGATTACTTCGAAAAGTGTTCCTTTCTATCTGTTGCGAAGGATGACTTTGGTAAAGTTGAAGAGGAAGTGCCCATCACAAACACAGTAAATATCAATTTTAAATTTAATCTAAGTGAGCTAAAGTAATTTTTTCATTTTTCCTCAATTGCAGAACATAAGCTTTGCCAAACTCAATCCAACAACGGAGTGTTTTATTGAAACATATGCACTATTTCCTGTACTATATGACAACAAACATGAAGATTATAATAACTCCAACGTACGCAAGCAAACATATAAAGAAATGTCTAATATTATGAAAAGCAAACAAAACATAGAGTTTACAGAAGATGAAATATATAAAGGCATATATTACTTGCGTCATTGGTATTTCAAATTAAAAAGCCGTCTTGAAAAGGAATTTGATGAAAAGGACTTGTCAAAAGCAGCACAAGTTTATTTGAAAAAATGTAACTTTATACCAGATAGACCACCGAATTTGAAACTAAAATGTACAGAATGCGATAAAGTTTTCCACAATGCGACAACACGACAAAGTCATCTCTTTAAGGAACATAAAATCGGCGATTGGCCACATAAATGTACAGAATGTGGGCGAACATTCGAGTTCAGAGCATCTCTAATAATGCACGAGCAACGTAGTCACGTTGGAAAGGTACATAAATGTGACCATTGTGAGAGACGTTTTGCTGTACAAGTCGATTTGCAACGTCACATCGATTCGCATATTGGTAAAAAGCCCTTCGTTTGTGAATTATGCGGCAAAGCATTTCGTAGTAAAACCCAATTGGGTTATCACTCCGATGCTATACATACGAAAACACGCGCTTACAAGTGTACAATGTGTCCAAAGGACTTCCTCAAGGCGCGCGATCTTAAGGATCACATAAAGGCACATCTTAATATAAGAGATAAAATATGTGAAACTTGTGGTAAAGGATTTACAAACTGTCATTCACTCATACGACACAGACAAATACATTCCGAAGTAAAAAAATTTGCTTGCAAGTTATGTGAAGCGAAATTTCATCAATTTGTTGGTTTAAACTCACACATGAAGAGGACGCACGGGATTGTTAAAAGTCAGCAAAAGTCTTAAGTATAATTATGTTGCAGTGCAATGCCGGATATAATATTTTTTAATTTAAGTTTGATTTAACTTTTACTTTAATTTTTTTTTGTTTGGAATGGAAGTTGCATTTTCAAGGTAAATATTACAGCATCAATTCACTTGGCCTTTTTTACTCTCGGCGAGTATATACATAAACTATTTTATTCTTAATATTAGTTCAGCTCTCTCTATTAAGCAAATATTTAATTCAACATTATATATAATAAATAACGGTAAAAGTTAAAATATACGATGTCTTATAAGAAAACTTACAAGTACGTGTAAATAAAAGTTTTTCATTTAAGTTAAGTTATTTTGTGGCGAGCAAAAATTAAAGGGGGTTTAATAAATACATTTCGTTAAGTAAAAAACACTGACAAGTTTTCGAAATTCCCTTTTTAAATATTTGAGCTTGTGTCAAAAAATTCGATGTGTTTGTGGACCCCTGCAATCAGCTGTTTAGCTGCTGTGCTTATCAAATTCTATAATTTGCGGTCCAAAATTATTCACTTATAAAATATAGTTTAGTTTAAATCAATTTTAATGATAAGATAAAATTAATTGATATAATTCATTAATTAAAATATTTGCAAAACACACGACTGAAATGTTAAAACTGTTTTCGAAACTAGCAGGCTCAAGTATACGGTCACTACGAATAATAACCGCAGAATCAAATGTAATAAATCCCAAAGAGCTAAAAAGTGTCTCCTATAACAGAAGTCAATGGTTTAGTAACACACCTACAGCTGCAACAAAGAAAGAGAGCCAGCAGCATTGTAATGTGGGTACAATCGGGCATGTGGATCATGGTAAAACCACTTTAACTTCAGCTATAACGAAAATACTTGCTGAGAAAGGACTTGCAAAGTATCAATCATACGAGCAAATCGACAGAGCACCTGAAGAAAAAGCGCGTGGTATAACAATAAATGCCTGCCATATTGGGTACGCAACAGCGGAGCGTACCTACGCGCACACCGATTGTCCGGGGCATGCGGATTACATAAAGGTGATGCGAGTAAAAATTTCGCTCCACTTGTAAATATCTGATTTTTATTCATTTACAGAATATGATATCCGGTGCATCACAAATGGATGGTGCCATCTTGGTGGTCGCAGCAACCGATGGACAAATGCCGCAGACTCGTGAACATCTGCTACTTGCCAAACAGGTTGGGATCGAACGTATAATTGTATTTATTAATAAAGCGGATTTAGTTGATCAAGAAGTACTCGAATTAGTTGAGATAGAAATGCGTGAAATGTTGACAGATTTTGGTTTTGATGGCATCAATAGTCCCATAATTTGTGGTTCTGCATTATTAGCATTAAACGGGAATACTTCACCGTTTGGTATACCAGCAATTGAAACTTTACTAAGCCATATGGACACTTATGTGCCGACGCCAACTCGTGATTACACATCACCATTCATATTGCCGATTGATAATGCATTCACTGTATCGGGACGTGGTACAGTGGTCGTTGGCACTATTAAACGTGGCACAATGCTTAAAAATGATTTAGCCGATTTGTTGGGTTTTAATCAGAATATTAAAACCAGCATAGGTGATATACAAATATTCAAAAATAGTGTTTCCAAGGTAATTTGAATCTAAATAATAATAACTTTGGTAGTTATGTATTATAATTTTGTATTGAATACTGTTTTCAGGCTGTAGCCGGTGAAAATGTTGGTGTATTATTGCGCGCCGTTAAAATCTCCAGTGTTGAACGTGGAATGCTATTATGTGCGGCGGACTCGGAGAATATATCAAACCACTTTGAAGCCTCTATGTATCTGCTATCACGTACTGAAGGTGGTCGTAGCAGGCCGATGCTCTCAAAATATATACAACAATTATTTAGTGCAACATGGAATGTGCCAGCACGTATCGATATTAGTAAATAGCTCTAATTATTATTTGTATGAAAAAAAAACAAAAGCATTTGTTCTTATGTGTTTTTTTTTTCAGTACCTGCAGAAGGCATGTTGATGCCAGGTGAACATGGTAAAGTGCGCATAACGCTACTACGTAAAATGGTTTTAATACCCGGTCAAGCGTTTACCATAAGAGAGAATGGTGCAACTGTTGCCACGGGCATGATTACGGAGAGAAAACCATCACTGGATGTGCCTAAAAATAAATTATCCAAAATTGTGGTAAATTGTTGAGTTGATGTTCATTAGTTGAATTGACGTTGTATATATGTAGAAAATAAAAAAGCAATTGTTTTCAATTATTTTATGTAATTTATTCCATTGAAATAAGTACATAATTTCATAAGTGCATCTTTCATTTTAACTGTAATAAATGTCGTTGTTGTTTTTATATGGCAATGCCGGTAGGGGTTTAACTTAAAGTACAAATGTAAGTATGTATTTTCACATAAATTTATATTTAATATAGATTTTGGCTAATTTAGTATAGTACATATTCAAAAGAAAACATTGTTCATAAACATTCAATTAACTTGGCAAATACAGCGTCAATTAACGTATGAAGTGAGTAGGAAATTTAAAAAATCGTTATCAATCACTGCTTTTTACGAATTTTTAACAAAAATTTATTTAATTATATTTTTTTTGATAAAGTTGAAATGCTTTTTGTTTTTGTATTAACCCATATTTAAGCAATTTTAGGTAAGATGTAAAAAAAAAATCGCAATAGTCTAAGCGACTGCTACAAAAAAATAATAGCATTCTCATCAAATGGCCAGCATCCTTTCTTATGTGATTTCAGAACAAAATTCTTAATTATACTCAATCCAAGCCTCTATACATGTGTATAACACATCTTTTTAATATATGATATATAATTTATATTCTACTACTTAGAAACTAATAAAAATGTTTCGAAATTCATTTTAATGGAAGTGTTATTTGTGAAAAATATGTTTTCTAGAAATTTTGGCAATCCAAATTGGAATGCTCGTTAAGTTGGACCACATTTAAGGTCTTCTTATAAACGGTAAACTGAATTTATAAATAGAATTAAATTCTGGATCAGCTGCCTGAAAGCTATCATGCTAATTTGAATTCATTCTTATTAACTATAATTTATTTATTAATTTTTTTTTTTTGATTATTTTGTATAATTTTTTTATTTCATTCATTTTTTAAATTTATCTCAAATTTTTGCAATGTTTTTGCATTTTTAATGCTTACAAAATAAAAAAAATAGTTGCACAATAAATACAAGTCTTTGATAGAGGAACTAGAGGAAAAAAGCAAGAATAACTAAATAATAAATAAAGAGTAATTTTTACTACTTATTAATGCGGGCAGTTAAATATTTCGCTACACAATTAACAGGTGTATGTAAGTACATATATATTTCTTTATAACAAATATTTTCTTTGTATATATATATTGTATGTCTTTTTTAACACATTCATGTATATATATATATATACTTATATGATGTGTGAAGCATATGTATAAGTAACTCCTGCTTTTCCTTTTCTCTCTGCTTTATCACATTTACGATTTTTTCACTAACACATACTCCACTGCTGTTGCTTCCGATGCTGATTTCCAACAATAAGGCAACTTCGTCGCTATGGTTTTACCATCTTTAACATTATTTAGCTATTCAAAAAGTTTTCATTCACATTTAACTATAAATTCAAACAGCTCAAATGGAATGCATTGCATTTTTTACCAAAGTTAAAGTCTAAAACAATACCAATTATACTATGTGTATATAGCAAATATCGAAGAATAACAATTCAAAGTGTTTCACTTGTATAAGTATACACTTGTACTCTGTCGTTACATGATATTCGGTGAGTGGGGCACTAATTAACTAATAGGAGCAATAATTATTATATTTATGTATAATTAGTTTTGATATTCATTATTGGAAATATGTTGCATTTGACACAAGCATACATATATATTTTAAGCTAACGATGTGTATATATTTCGTTATGTGTGTATATATAAACCTTTCAAGTGTTTTAGCTTAAAGCTTATTGAAATTTAATTTAACACAAATAAATTTATACTATAAATTATTTAAAATAGTCCATTTAGTGTATATGCTATGCATTTTCTTATTGTATTAATGTTTTTATGTGTATATATGTATATATGTATTAACACTACTTTTAAAGTATTTCCATTTTTTGTCTTCAATTTACAATACTAGCTTTAAATCAGGGAATGTTTAGTCCATTCATAAGTACAAATTAATTTTATATCATGTATATATGTTTGTATATAATATGTGTTTACTTTCAATGACAACAAGTTGCACTAGGTACACAAAATTTTCTTTTTTTTCCTACTAGAGATAGATTTTTCATTTGTTATTCATAACTCCAATATATCAATATATATGTATATGTATAATATTACATTTGACATTTTATAAGAATATGCTTTTTTTTTGCTTTATCGGAGGGTCATAGATTTGGACTTTTGACTTTCGAATATCCAATTACACTGTTTCACACATACAATTCGGTGATTTAAATTTTCGTCAGCAAATCTTCAAGTCCTAAATGTTTGGGTAATTCTATATCTTCCAATTTAACATCGCTATATTTGAAAACAACTTTGAAGGGATGTATGAATTTCTGATCCATAGTAAACTCGTCATTTTTAATCTGTTAAGGAAAAAGTATGGATTTTAATTAGTATGTTGATTTGGAAAATTGAGATTAGGTGTTTCAAAATTACCATGCCACGCTCATTGAGTTTTTTAGTGAGTTTTTCCAAAAATACATTCGTTATTTCACCTTCATAATCGTCCAGCTTGTATGATTTCATAACCTGAAAGAAAATAAATTGCTTTAATTTAATATTTTTTAATAATAAAATAGTAACGGTTACGAGTTCAATGAACAAGAAAATTTTCGAATTTTTAATTTTTCCACAAATAAAATAAGTGTTATAATTTATTATATATTTAACTTATTATATATATATATTTTTTTTTTTGATTTATTTCCGTGTTGTAATTGATTATATTTGTTTAAATTAATTTTTTCGTTTGAAATTTACATTCATAGAACTTATTTGTTTTTCGTTTTCATAATAATCGAATATTTTAATATTTTAGAAAGTAGCATTCGATTCAAATTTGTTTTTTTTTTGTCTAATATTGTATTTAATTAAATTACTAGTGTTTTAACAACTTTTCAATTTCATAAAAAATAATGAAATCTTACCTTAAGTACTTGTGCCGTATTTAATGAAGTACATAAATCACAAATACTTTGTACATCCTGTTCACTCTTGCGCGATTGGAGCAGCTGAGATACTTGATTTAGTGGAGCCAAGGGTGCTAAAACATCGTTTGACTAAAAAAAAATAATATTTAGAATTTTTGTTTTTCTTTAAATGAATAAAATTATGATTTGAATATAAAATCTAAATAGTTTGGTAAAAAAAAAAATTAAATAAAAATAAATTATTTATTTAAAAATAGTTTTTTGCAATGAAATTTAAAAACATACATACATTGATACAAAAATATGTAAATATTAAAATTGGTACTAAAAAATTTAAAAACAATTTTGAAGAAATTATTTAATTAAGTTACATTTAATACAATATGTATGCATGTATTTACTCCATTATTGAATAGCACTTTAAATAATAAAAAAATAGTTTACCAAAAAATTAACTAGAAAAAAATATTTAGTACATATAATTGTAACTATAAATGAGAGGCATTGCTTAGTTTTCAAATTGTACACTCTAATAAAATTCAGCCATTTCCATTTACTTACCATTTTCTTGCTACGCACCCAATCCTCAATATAACCTAAATTATAACGTATTATCATACCAGTTTCCCACATACAAATATCACCACGCAACATTAAACAATTTAGTGCTACGGCACAAATGAAATACAATAATTGATGGAAAATCTGTTCGGAATAACAACGATCTAAACCAAAATGTTGGAATTGCTTATAAAATTGTTCCAGGTGATTGATGAGCAGTTTCCATGCAGCTACTTTGCCATGCTCGGGTGATGACGTAGAATCCATTGAGGCTGTACGACCGCGCATGCCTTGCACTTGCCTATTACGTTGGATTTCGTCATTATCGAGTATGGCTGGTACTATATATTGTTCAAGTAAAGTTTGTATCTGCTTCACCAACACCTGGTATAAGCTAATTATTATATCAAGTATAACACGACGATATTCGTATAGATTGAAATTCTTCAATTGTTGTTGATTTTGTTTTTCCGTATTGAATTTAACATATTCCTCAACATCACCGTATTGTTTCAGTAAATTGAGTAGACTGTAAGAGAGTAAAAATTAAATTTAATATTATATGAATATTTTAACATATAAATAGATATATTTGTAAATTAGTTGCCACTTACGTGATGGAATTAACCAACCAAAGTGAACGCATTTCTATCACATTTGGATTACGGTGAATTTTTTTGATTTGCATAACAAACTTGCTCAACAAATCGCGCACATCGTCATCTGCGTTTATTAGATCAGTGTAACTGACAATAGAAAAATTTGAAATCAATGAAATTTTTACTTTTTTAGTAAATTTAATTTGTCTATTTTTTCTTACCGAATGCACATAAATATTATATACGCAGGGAAGCCAGGTAATAAGCCAATAGCTAAACGTGGTGTCATGCCGCCAACCAAGCGCTGCAGTATCTTATCAAGATCTTCACTGCGGAACTTCATAACGCCTAAGGGACAATAAAAAAATATATTTTAAATCCTTTTTTTTAGAAAATAAATATAAATAAAACAATAAATAAAATAATCTTTAAAATATATGTGTAAGGTATAAAAATTTTTTTTTTGGTATATTAACTTTGGACCGAAGTTTGTAAGTACCAGAAGAAGGGGATTGTTGGGAGCTGACTTGATTTAGAAATGTTCGTTCGTCTGTTTGTACGCAAACAAGTTCCTCAGTTTATGACATATTTCAAACAAGCTTGGTAAGCAAATGTATTTTTATACTATTATAGATCATTTATCGGAAACCGCCAGATCGCACTTCTATAACATATAGCCCCCATATAAGAACATATAATGAATTGTACATTGGTGCTGAAAATCATCAAAATCTGAAGACTACATCAGATAGCCTTTATACAACCGAATGATTCACCTTTGATGCTTTGGAAAAAAATTCGATCAAAAAAAAACATCTAAAAGTGTAATATTTAGTTTAATAAGAGTATACTCGCATCTAAAAACGGTATTCATTAACACCGAAATTCCTCTAAAACGGCGTTCCATATCATTTCCTTTCCATACAACCGACTAAACGCGCATATGTAGAAATAAACATTGTCCCCGAAAATCATCGAAATCGGAGTACTATATCCATATAGCACTCACACAACTAATTTTTCAGTTATCAGATATATAATCGTAAAATGAAATACTAGCCATTTAATATGGTATGGTTAAAGAAGGCAGCTCTCCTTTCTTTTTTAAATTCAAGTTGTTTTTTTTTTACTACAACTCTTTTTATAGCACTCACCTTGATAATTTTGAATTTTCTGTTTGCTCACATTCGCCACAGCCGTCTTATCGCTCTCCTTGCTATTGGTATCCTGTGAGATGCCATGTTCCTTTAACTTAGCCATTAATTTATCATTGCCCTGTCTTAGGGCATCAAATTTGCGTGTCATAAGATTCATTTCCTCCTACAAAAAAAAAATAACAAAATCGCTCATTCGAATGTTTTACTCTAACATTAGCGCATTAGTCAATTAATAGGCCACCTGTAATTGTGAGTATTGTAGTAGAGAACGTTGCAGTTCATAACGTAGATAACGTTCACTTTGACGTAATGCCTCAATATTATTTTCATCGATTTGTTCAACTCCACTCTGTAGTAGCTCCTGTAGTTGTTGCTTTTCATGCCGCAGCTCGTCAATTTGTCTTGTCAGATCAGCGAGATGTGCGTTATTCTCTTCGGTGAGAGCGCTCAATTCAGATTCCAATTGTCTGTTGTAGAGAAATTTAAAATAGCGTGAATGTGATTTGTAAAGTGAAATTACTGTATGCAATAGGGAAACGGATTTACCGATTAACCAACTTCTGTGCTTGGAATGCTTCAACTAATTCATTGTCATTTAAGTTCTTTAGGTCAACGCCACGCAGTGAAACTCCTGTATTATTGATGGATTTCAAAGACTGACTTTGTTGTTGCAATACCGCTTTTAATTGTATACACTCATCACGGCGACGGCGTAATTCTTCTTGTAATGCTTGGTATTGGGCTAAAATGAGCATACGGAAAGTCGTTAAATAAATTTTAACGAATTATTTAAACATTTTTTATATAAATATTTTTTTTTTTTCATTGAAACTATATAATCTTTGTCTGATAATTTTAGTCAGCGCTTTTGTTTGGCCCTCTTTTCCATAACGTAGCTTAAATCATTCAAAGCTTTGCAATATCAAACGATATCGGAAGAATAGTTTACCTTCTAATTCATTCATTTCGGAGCCATGGTGTATACTGCTGCGTAACAAATCATAGTCACTACGTAATTTTTCATTCTCAACCTCCAGTTCAGAGACACTAGATGATTGAAAAATTGATTTTGAAAAATTTTCGAAATTATTTTCATGCATAATATATAACGCTTATTATTCCGCTTACCGTATAGAGTCTTCCGTTTGATTATTTCTTTTCAATAGACGCTCCAACTGATTATTTAACTGCATATTTTTCTTTTTCTCCTCCTCTAAAATGCTACGTAATTTCAAAATAAGACTCGTTTGACCTGATTTCGGTGTTGATGTGGTTTCTGTAAGAAAAATATTTCAATTTGTTTAATTTATGTGCGTACGTAAATGGAGTATTCAAACATAAAATATATTTATTTACCAATTGTCGTAAAGGTTTCGGGTGAAATTTGATTTGCATTATCGCCACCTTGATGACGTCGCAATTCGAGCGTATTCTTAGCCGATACATAGCCAACATCATCTTCATTCTGGCTGGATGCATTACTAACCGAACGCGAATGTTGATTGTTATTGTCGCGTGCACCGTTGGGTTTTTGATGTCTACTCAACTCTTCCTTAAGCAAATAGTTTTCATTTTCTATAATCTCTTTTTCCTTGATTGCACGTTGATAGGCGTCATTTATTTCGTTTGTTTCAGCTTCAGAGAATGAACGTTCATGTCGCGAATTGGCATTTGCTTCGGCATTCTTAGCCATTTCAATCATTTGATCGATTTGTTTGCGTAACTCGATGTTCTCCACGCGCCACACTTGTTTTTGCTGCACCCAATCTTCTTCGGAGTGGTCCTTCTCTTCAAGTAGTTGCATTTTTTCGTCACGTTCTATTTCCAGCTGCTTGTTTAATGCTGCCAAATTGTGATCCTTTTCCGCAACGGTCGATTTGAGATTACGCACTTCCATTTCCAAAGCTTTTTTCACTTCAAGTTTCATTCTAAATACACAAATATCAATGTAAATACTTGAATAGTAAACAAAAAATTTATTTATATTTTAAATCAACATACTTAAGTACAGAAATTTCACTAGTCTTCGATTTCAGACTGCCATTCTCACGATTGAGCTCATCAATCTTTTGCTGCATCGATATGATCTTGTTCTCGAGACCCTTGTACATTTTCTGTATATGCGAAATGGTCTTCGCTTCCGCCTTCAACCGCTTGAATTGACGCCGCGCCAAGAAACGGCGCACAGCCGATTGGCATATAATGATTGCGCGTCGCTTCTTCTGATAGGCGCGCCGCGCCAAATAGCCGCGTATGAAACGTTGAATTTGCACCGCGCGATAATGATCCATAGCTGCCTGGAAGCGCCGACGCGCCAGCATGCCGCGCGCATATTGTTGTATACCGCAAATTGTGTGGCGCAGTCGCAGGTAACGCCGGCGACACAACCAACCACGCGCATATTTGGAAATAACCACCGCCGCGTGTTCTTCACGCATTTGCTGCGCTTTCTGTCGTGCCAAGTAGCCACGCGCATAACGCTGTATACCGAGCGCGGTGCGTTGCAAACGTTGAAAGCGTCGTCGATGTATGAAACGACGCACCACAGATTGTATAATTGTTATATACTTCTTGCGTAAATTGGCGCGTACCTGTTCCATGTACGCCACCTGACCGGCACGGAAGAATATTTGCGTATTGCCAAAGCGATATTTGTCTCCATCGAGTATCCATTTGGTCACAATATTGTGACACGATTGCTTCAAATCGTTTTTATTGACCAACGAGCGATGACAGAGCAATTGGTAGCGCATGTAGAAATCGTGGTAGGACCAGCGCGATGGAAAACCAGCAGCGGAAATGCGTACCGTTTCGAGTACACCGCAAGCGCGTAGTTGTTGTACGATTTTGGACGCCTCCCATTTAAAGGCGATTTTATCGTCGTTAGGCTAGAGATGGGAAAGTGAGAAATGTTATTGGAGTGAAATTATGATTTTTCGATGCTCCATAAATAAAATGATGAAAAAATGTCTTAGACCAGATCGGCGATTTCATAGTTTACATGAAACTTATTTAATATAAAATCCGGCTGCTGCTCGATATTTGCGTTTGAACAGGTTATTGATAGCTTGTGTGCGAAAGTTAACTGCTACCTCTCCGACTTTCCCGACCGTTTGAGGAACATAATATTCTACTGGGCAAGCATTAACTGCTGGGATACTACCGTTGGGAGTACTCCAGGCCCATCAGGAATGGAGTACTTGACTACATCGACTACATCTTTGCCATTCATTGAGAGTCCGTCAACACCTTCATAAATTTTCCTCCAGTGAATGGCGTACTCGGAGTCCAAGTAACCTATAGCAGATCCAGCTATGTCTAATGAGGGCGGATGGCGCAGGTACATGCGACCCGCCTCTGCTGCATAAAAAATTAACATCGATGGATCAAAAAATGGATCGGGTGGATGGCAGACTCTATTACGCCGAACTACATCTCCGCAATCTCCAAGCTTTTAGAGTATTGCAGTATCTGAAAGCCGGATGTCTTCGAAACAAAAGAGGTGAACCGCTACGTATATACAGGGTTCCACGCTCACGTAAGGACTGCACGATAATTGTTGACCTATTGGCATATGTATGAAGTGCATACCATATGGCCTGTGGGAAACCTTAGAGCACTTTCCCTGTTTTTGCTCCGTCTTAACCAGACCTCGTCTAAGATATCTTGGAGCTTGGCGCTTCAAAGCACTAGAGGAGGTTTCAAAATTGGATATTAAGGCTGGCTAGAACTTCGCGAAAGGACCAAAGGGTATGTGCAAGGCGTATCAGCCGGATTGTGTAACTTAACCTAACCTATCCAGACTTGACTGCGACATATTCAACGCATACCCTCCATGCAACTACGCTCCGCGCGGCACTAGCCACCTCTTTTTATGCTAAAATTAACTCAACTAATCTCCCTTTCTCTTTGATGCGAGCCCGCCGAAACACCTCGATTCCCGTTAGATGGCCACGATGACTTAGAGTAATTTTTATGTGTATTGGTATGTATGAGCCGGTGTGTTATAAAAAAATATAACCTAACCTCAAAGTTCTTGAACGCATCTATCTGTAGCTTCAAATAACAACAAATTCCTACAAAATAAATCTTATTGTATACGATTTTACTTACCTTTATGCAACGCACGTAATGTGGTGTGGTAGCATGCAAAGTAGATATTAACGATGAAAGACTCTCTCTGAATTGCGAGCCAACAGAACGACGGTTTTGTTTTGATGGTGCGATCTAGAAGATAATAATCAAAAGGTAAGTAAAATAACGAGTATAATATATGCAAAAAGCGAACTGATTAAAACCAACTGAGTGGTGTATGTATATAGGCATGCGGTATTTTGTGTAAATTAGTTTCGTTAATCGCAATGGATTTAAAATTATTGTTAAACTTTCTTTTAGTAAATTTGTTTGCTGGTATATTGGAAGCGAGAAATAAGTGAATATATCTTTTATAACCGTAATTCATTTATGCTATAACCAAATTAATAGTGAAATATTTTGGAATAAAATAACACACATTGCCTGTGCCAGTTATTGGGTGTTAATTTAAAGGTATTAAGTAGTAGTAGTAGTACTAATTTAAATAAAATTTTGTTAAAGAACAACAACAGCAACCATAACATAAATTCTATTTAAACGCACTAACTCGTCTGCGATTATCTGCAGTTAACTAAATATCCACACAAATTACGACATCATTGTCGGCGGCCAATCAGTTCAGTGACGTTGACGACATACATAGTTAGGAAACAAGAACAACACGAAGAGAAAGACAGTAACATTAATTTTTATATAAAGACAATTCTTCTTAAAAAAAAGGCTGCAAACTGTAAAAAATTATTTCATACATTTAGGAAAATGCAGATTTTTCATATACATATCTCAATAATTGACATGTTGACTTTTATTTATTTATACAATTTAAACGTAGCAAGCTTACCTGCTGTCTAGATGCACTGATCACCACCCGACCGCCGAGTGTTGTCACTTTTGCCGCATCTGCGCTCAGGGTATCAACCTCTTCCATTTCCATTAATTGCTTGCATAAAGACATATCTGATTGGCGTATAACATTGACAAGTTCCTTTGAAACAGTGTCACGATTCTTTTCCAGAAAACCATAGACATCGTATTCAACGGTATCGGAGAAATGTTTTATATAGAAACCTGAATATGATTCATGTAAATTTCTCATGAAATCTATTACAAAACATCGAAACAGTTAGTACATACTTGTTGTGCCAAAGCGTGGTTTTTCAAAATGTGGATATTTATTGCATTTTTCAATTAATTTTCCAGCCCAACTTTCATCGCTGCCTTTAGGCATCTATGAATGTGAAAGAATACATTAAAGATAAAGTTGTTTTTTCTTTTAATTTTCCTAGGCATACTTACTCTACACTCTTCATCTAGTAAATCTAAAACGCCCAATTTCGATTCAATTAAATCTATACACGGTTGATTATCATAGAAATCGATCATTGTCCAAGTTATGCCTTCTTTCAAGTACTCCTCTTGTTCCAATTTGAAAACATGCTGATTGAATTGTTGTTGTAGCTTCTCATTTGCATAATTAATACAGAATTGTTCAAATGAATTAACTTCGAATGTCTCGAAACCATAAATATCCAAGACACCAATAAAACTGTTTTGTTTTCGACTTCCTATATTTAAACTCTTGTTGATTACTTGTACTATGTATTGAAAGAGTTTAGCATATATATGTTTGGCAAGCGCATCTTTAGCTGTCTGCGCAGCAGCAACGCTATTCGGTATCAGTACATGTTCATTGACAGATTCAATTTTACGCATTTTCAACCATTGACGCAAATCATCTGCATTAATTTTCAACATATCAGCGGTAACATGAAGATGGAGATCATTATGCTGAAAAATTATAGAAATTAACATATTTGTATTTTGTATGCTATTAGTTTAAATATATTCTACATACAAAGATATCACAACCATCTGGATCGTCATCAGAGCCTTTTTTACTTTGTGGCACAAATTTTATATTGCCAAGATGCAATATGCCGGCAAGTATGTTTAAAATGTCCGTTATCTGTAAAAATAGGAAAGCAGTTGAACATTAATCTAGTACCAGAATTTAAAATATCATTTATTCATTTATTTTACTCTACCTGCAACGTGCTGAAACCCAACACATTCATAGCTTGTATAGTTTCTTTAAATAGTTCCTTATCCGAGACTCTATCAATATCTGGCGAATGCCCCATTTTCAAATATTCGAACTTGTCTTGATGATCTACATACATACATACAAAATAATAATAATTAATAGTTGTATATATGCGCATTATATACAATATTATTCCTTAACGCACCCAATATCATTTCGGGATGCATTTCACGTGCATCGCAAAGTTGATAAAAAATGTGATAATTCCGCTCGCCAGGCGCCTGAAATACAACACGCGACTTCTCCAGCAAGTAAGTATGCATCGTTGCGCCCGTTAGATTCATAACACTCATATTATTTTTGAAAAGTAATTTCGTAAATTTACCAAAACGTGAACTATTATCATTACGCGTTGTCTTGGCATTACCGAAAGCCTCCATTATTGGCGATGAAGCAAGCACTTTGCGTTCAACTTGCGTTTCAGACTCGGAACCACCAACAGCGGCGAAGTAACGCATAGCATATTTCGCAGAAACTGTTTTACCCGCACCCGATTCTCCACTCACAATTATACTTAGATCACATTTCTCACGTTCAAGTTTTGTATATGCCTCCTCGGCTAAAGCAAAGATGTGCGGTTCCAATTCGCCCATTGAACGTCCACGATAGGCGCGTATAATGCTCGGTCCATAGAGTGGTAAATCGGCATACGGATTTATGGCAACCAATATGATGCCACAGTATGTGTATATAATTTGTCGTTCACAGAAACGTACTTTCAAATTATGTAATACGCCGGGTTCATGTAGATAGGACATAGCTGTCAGATCATTTTGTCCAATTAATATAGCTGGATTACGTAGTGGTGGCAAATTACTTCCATCGGGTTTTATGGACACGTCCACAGAAGTGCCAGATTCTTTGACAATCTGTATAGTAATATCGCCTTTGTGATAATCTCGTTGAACTGTAGCAGTCTCCCATACTTGCTCTGGGTGAGGCACCCATATTTTGGAGCCCTGTTAAGCAAAATATAGGATGAACTTAAGAAAGACACATTTTTTTTTAAATATTATTAGATATCAGGGTGAACTCATTAAATATCATATTATGGTTGTTCCTCTCTTCTAATTTTTTTTGTTGTGGAAACTGAGTACCCCCTATTTTGATTATCCTTAACAAATTTAATTTAAAAAAATGTAATGCATACTTTTAGGCTAAATAGTTATTTGAAATCTACAAACAGTTTGAAAGCCCTACATTTCAAATGCAATGTTTATATTTGAGTCGGTTGATTTCTATGCAGATTTTTATTGCTATTAATGCACTTGAATTAAACTTTCTAAAATTGTTTTTTTATTTTAAAATTAATAATGCAGTATTATGAAAATATGTAACAGAGGGTATTTTCACAATGAATAATTGACTTTTATACTATATTTCTTGAAGGATGAATATCGTGTTTATAATAATAGGACGTCAGTAAATTTTTCTCAAGGCGTTTTGAAACCAATGAGACGTAAAATACGTATCTTTAGCGACTGGTTGTGCAATCACCATTAATCATAATTCAAATATTCCTAATATATATTTTTATATTTCAACAAGCTGCTTGGAAGCAGTGATTTTTAAAATGGTCGTTAACAAACTTCAACAGCGACATAGTATACTAACGGCGTTTTGTTATTATTGTGCTATCAATGATTATATAGACATTTAGTATTGATAAGCCAATATGAATCATCACCCATCGAAATGTTTGGTTCTCTTTTGAATAAACATATTTTAACACTGGCATCATCATTCGATTTCTAATGATTTTAATTTGTCTCTACTGGTGTGTGATAAGAACGATCTGATTAGTAAATATAACAATAAAGAAAAAATGCTTGGGGCGTCCTTCACGCTAGGAATCGATTGCACATAAGAATATTTCTAGTTAGACAAGGTTTTCGTGTTTTTATATGCTGAATAGAGTTACGTAGTGGAGTGTTCGAATCAATGTTTAATTTATGTACATGAAATCGCGTCTCGGCCATCCAACTTATCAACAAATTGCCTTTGCACTTGTATGGCTGCAGACACTAAGTCGAACATACAAGCAGATGACCGAAAAGCGGTGAATAATAAATACCTTGGCGTATAGCATATCTTCGCTCGACATGATTTTGCAGTAATCTCAATTCAAGTCCACCTCTACTACTCCACTAATTACGGGTTTATGACTTTCCAAACAGGCACTGTATTTAACGAACCAAAATAGTTTGGTTGGTATCGTTCAATAAATGTTTATTTTGCTAATAAGTACGTATGTATGGATGTATTTGACCTTATTTAAATTCTATACAACTCTTTTCAAATAAAATTCTAATTTATCGTACGCGTTTTACATTTGTCAAATGCATGTTTTTTACGTTTTTCTTATTTTTATTTAATTTAAATAATACTACAGAAAATTTCGCTCCCGTAAACAAAGATAATTAAAATTAATTTGTAAATTAAACTCAATTTTTCACTCTGACGTCCAGTCAACAACGTTGACGTTGACAACCGAAAGCAATAAAAAACAGAGAGCACACGTACACAAACACCTGCCGGGCATAGTGCTACCAGAATAGCAAAAATTATTTAATGAAAAATGTATAAATTTCTGCATTCATATACTTGCATTGAAAAGTTTAATATTCAGAACGAATATGTATGTGCATTTGTTTGTGTTTGCAACTTTTCATAAAGAAAACGGAAATGCACTTTGATTTAGTAGGATATTGAACAGCCATTACAAATAACCAGAAATAAAATCCGATTACTTATATCTTAATGCAATCATGCTTTTTTCAATTGTCAGACTTCCGCGCGCTTTTGTTTGTCAGTTGCGTTTACAATCGCATTTCCAGCGTGAATATAGTAGTGGTTAAGAGAATAAATTTTTATAGATTAATTATTTGTGAAATATAAAAGTATTGCAATCATTTGGCACATATTTGTTAAGATGTCAAGTCCTGCTCCTACACCAGAAGGTGCTGCACCTTCACCAAGAGGTCAGGGTGAACGCACACCAACACGAAGTAAGTGCATACTCTCATTGAAAAAATGTCAACCAACTTAAAAACCAATATTCCATAGACCCTGTAGCGCAGGATACAACAGACACGCCAATGCGTATGGGTCCCACCACCCAGCGACAGAGTCAACAACCATCGGAAATAAGCTTGCCACCAACTTCGCCGGGTGGCTTAAGCTTGCCCGCAACAAGTCCTGCCCGAGGATTGGGCATGAGTGAAATCGACTTAAGCTCACCGTTGAACTATGGCACACCAAGCTCTATAGGGTCTATACGTACACCACGTTCAGGTATACGTGGTACACCACTGCGTGCACGTCCTGATATACGCACGGATAAGCGAATGCGTCAAGTGGCAATTGGTACAGCGGGTGCTGGTGTAAGAATATATAGAATAGGTTTTTAAATTTAAAACCAACGAATTTTATATAATTTTTTTTTATTTTTTAGTTAGAACCAATTGCTGAGAAACCATCTGAAGGCACCGATACCGTGTCTGAATCATCTGCTACACCGCAGATGGTTGTTTGGGGTACCAATGTGGTTGTACATCAATGTAAACAGAAATTTAAGGTTTTCCTAATGCGTTATATCGATCCGGATGTTGAGCGTGATGAAATATCCGAAAATATCGATATAAATCAGCCAATATATATGCAGAAACTAGAAGAAATCCACACACTAGAAGAACCATATTTAAATGTAAATTGCGCCCATTTAAAGACTTTTGATGAAGCTCTATACCGCCAATTGATTTGCTATCCTCAAGAAGTTATACCTGCTTTTGACATGGCAGTGAACGAAATGTTCTTCGAGCGCTATCCAGCAGCTGTGTTGGAACATCAGATTCAAGTACGACCATTTAACGCAGATAAGACACGCAACATGCGTTCCCTTAATCCAGAGGATATGGATCAACTTCTGAGTATTTGTGGCATGGTTATACGTACCTCCGGAGTTATACCCGAAATGCGTGAAGCTTTCTTTAAATGCATCATATGTGCTTTTTGCACAACAGTAGAAGTTGATCGCGGTCGTATTGCACAACCAACACTATGCACAAATTGTAATACCAATCATTGTTTCCGTTTAGTACACAATCGTTCAGAATTTACTGATAAACAATTGATAAAATTACAAGAGTCGCCGGATGACATGGCTGCGGGCCAAACTCCACACAATGTGCTACTCTATGCACACAATGATTTGGTTGACAAAGTACAGCCTGGTGATCGCGTAACAGTAACTGGTATATACCGTGCTGTGCCCATGAAAGACAGGGGTCGTAATATTAAGAGTGTGTACAAAACGCATATTGACGTGGTACATTACCGTAAAGTTGATAGTAATCGCTTGTATGAGGATGAAGAGGGGTAAGAAAAAAAATTCAGATATATAGTATTCAAAAATATAAGAAATAAATTTCAGAAAAACTCACATTTTTTCACCGGAACGAGTGGAGTTACTACATATGCTGTCACAAAAACCAGACATTTACGATCGGTTGTCGCGAGCTATTGCTCCTTCCATTTATGAGAACGATGACATTAAGAAAGGTATTTTACTACAATTGTTTGGTGGGACAACAAAGAAACAATCAACTTTGGGCAGACAGAATTTCAGGTACATACATACATATTTTTAGAATCATATTATCCATATTATAATTTTTCTTTTTTCTCTTAAACTTGTTAATTTTTATTGTATTTATATTTTATTATTAACATATAGAGCAGAGATCCACTTGCTTTTGTGTGGTGATCCTGGTACATCCAAGTCCCAATTATTACAATATGTTTACAATTTGGTGCCGCGATCACAGTACACATCAGGCCGAGGTTCTTCTGCAGTTGGCCTAACGGCTTATGTAACAAAGGATCCGGAAACGCGCCAACTGGTTTTGCAAACGTATGTTTTAGAATGAATAACATTATTTTTATATAGGCATAATTAAAGAAATAATTTTGTCCCCGATTTAGTGGTGCGCTCGTATTGGCTGATAATGGAGTCTGTTGTATCGATGAGTTTGACAAAATGAATGATTCAACACGCAGTGTTCTACATGAAGTTATGGAACAGCAAACATTGAGCATTGCAAAGGCAGGCATTATTTGCCAACTCAATGCACGTACATCTATTTTGGCTGCTGCCAATCCTGCCGAATCACAGTGGAATAAGAAAAAGAATATAATTGACAACGTGCAACTGCCACATACACTATTGTCAAGGTTCGATTTAATTTTCCTTGTGCTCGATCCACAAGATGAACAATTTGATCGTCGTTTGGCCAATCATCTTGTATCGCTTTATTATGTTACACGTCACGAAGAGGAGGATACTATGTTTGTACGTAAAACATCTCGTTTTCAGGAAAATGTGCTTATCTATAATATAAAAATTCTTTTTAAAGGATGTTAGCGTGCTACGTGATTACATTGCTTATGCCCGGGATCATTGCTCTCCCACACTTTCGGATGAGGCGCAACAACGTCTGATTCAAGCATATGTCGATATGCGCAAAGTAGGTGCACGCCGTGGTCAAATATCAGCTTATCCTCGTCAGTTAGAAAGTTTGATACGTCTATCTGAAGCACATGCCAAGATAAGATTGAGCAATGTTGTGAGCGTACAAGATGTGGAAGAAGCTTGGAGGTGACCATAAAGAAATACAAAAAATATTTATGAATTGAATTTAATGTAAATTTTCCTTTTCGTGCAGATTACATCGTGAAGCTTTGAAGCAATCTGCTACAGATCCGCTTTCCGGTAAGATTGATGTTGGTATTCTTACGACTGGTCTTTCTACAGCTGCTCGAAAGAAGCGGGCGGATCTGGTATTAGCAATCAAAGAAAATCTAAAGAAGAAAGGCAAAGTGCCAACAGTTCCATACCAGAAACTGTTCAAAGAAGTTAAAGATGCTTCTCAAATTGTAAGCAAGAATTTTATCTTTCAGTTACTAATTGTGATTAATTATTTATATTTATTTTATTTCAGTTGATTACACGGGAGCAATTCGAGGATGCTCTCAAAGAAATACAAGATGAAGGTGCCATCGTTGTGATGGGCAAAAATACCATCAGAATCTGTTAAAGAGTACAAATATACATAAATATTCATACAACCATAATATAATTTTTGTCGCAGTTTTTTACGTTTTTCATTATCTAAAGTTATTTGAAATAAATGATGTTCTTATACCTTATATCTCGTGAGTTTGTTTAGGTTTTTTTTAAATGAAAAAAATGCTATACTTTAAAGTTTATAGAAATAAGTAATAAAAAACCATAATTTAGATTCTTTAACTAAAATTTAAAATAGAGAATTGGCCGAAAATAGCTTTAATGGCTATAATTATAACAACCCTGTCATTGGAGAGCATAAACTGCTCAGCCGTGGGAATGTTTTTCGCCGTCGTCATATATTCGCTTAGCACAATTGTTATCGTAAAACGCTGTCGAATTTTCGATGAAATTATACTGAAGTTTGTAAGAGTTGATAGTGTTTAGAAATTTCACTTGGGTATATTTTATGCATTAAAAATTTTGTTAATAAAATATAATGTCTCCAGAGCCAGATGCTGAGCAATTAGCTTGTAACAAATTTGTTGCTATTGAAAAGGAAACCGACGTTGCAATGGAAGAAAATCTAAATAACTTGGGCTTGCCTACGGATTCTGGTGAAATTTGCCAACAAACGGATGAGGCTCTCCCGCGCAAACAACGCGAACGCCGCAATAAATCGCCCATTGCCATTTCGACGCTGATGGAATCTTTTGCTGCACCTCTATCACCAGCATCTTCCTCGTGCACTTCTCAAGGTAATAGCAGTGCAGATGCAACATTTGAACCGTCAATTGATATGATGGTGAACGATTTTGATGATGAGCAAACGTTAAACGAAGAGGAAGCATTAGCTGCCATGGAGCACCAAGATCCACATGATGAAATTGCGACACTGCAGGAAGAAAGTGAAATGCCTTTGGAAGAGTTATTAGCGAAATATCAGGTTGCGCCACAAGTTCCTGTGTATGTAAGCTCGTCCAGAAAGAAGAAACGTACCGCTGGCAGTGGTAAGAATTCTAAGCATAGAAAAGTTGATAGTGAATCGACAGTAGGCTCAAATAGTGCAGAAGCAGGAACAGAGACAGCGTTAGAAAGTATTGTCGATAATGAAGCGATAAACTCTACAGATAGATCAGCAAATGATGTAATTTTGATTGAAGAGAGTGGTGATGAAGAAGCCGCGGCAAAAAAATCATTAACGGATATGGGCGATAATGACGAATCTCTTACCCCAGAAGAGTTTCAAAGTACAAATGAGGAAAATAACGACACATTAGCATTAAATGGACATACAGAAAAATCTAAACAACGTCGCACGCATCTGATGGATCTTTATCCCGAAGAGTCATTTACAGCAGTAATAAATTCCGTCGGAGACCAGGACAAAGGTGTGTAAAACGAACAAAAATATACATATAAAACCATAATTTCAACGTATTGAATTATTTTTTGCAGATATTTCACTTGAACTCCTGTATAACGAAGAAATAGAAGAAGATATTATTGATGCCGAAGAGGAAGAGGAAGATGAATTCGATAGTGACTATGTAAAGAAAACAATCATGGTTGGTTCCTCATATCAGGCAACCATACCGGACGGTTTGTCGCAATATGGGGATGTGCTACCGTATGAAAATGAAGATAAATTGATTTGGGAGCCTAGTCAGGTTAGTGAGAAGGAAGTTGAGGAATACTTATTGAAAGCACGTGATATCAAACCGAGTTTGTTGGATAATGTGGACGAGGAATGTGAAGAGCCCAATCAGATCACGCCTTCCGGAAATGCAGATTCCGATGCTACAAATACGGTAATAAACGGCATTGAAGCCGAGAACGCAAAATCTTTTACAAATCAAAAAACGGAAGATACGCAAAGCACAATGACTTCGTTAGCTGGCGAAAATGTTGATGTAACTGCTGTGATTAAAGATAATGAACAGGTTTGTAATATTAGTAATATTATTTTTATAAACAAAGCTTTTTAAAAATGGAAACTTTCTTTTAATTCTAGGCACTACACTTACTCGTCCAATGCGGTTATGACTTTAAAGAGGCTTTACGACGCAAACGTCTAAATGCCTTGCCACTAACTGGTTCGATGAGTCTTTGGTCAGAGGAAGAGTGTCATAAATTCGAGGAAGGAATACAAAAGTTTGGCAAGGATTTTCTCAAAATCCGTCAAAATCAGGCAAGTATAAACTCAAACTCAAAGGATATTTAAACGTTGCGGCTTTAATACATATAAAACTGTCGTCGCTACTTAAAGGTGCGAACCCGTACAATGCGTGAGCTGGTGCAGTTTTATTATCTATGGAAGAAAAGTGATCGTCGTGATCATAATTTCGCAAATTCCGACACAGTGGATCACATGGACATTTATTTAAATGAGGGTGGTGACTATAGTCCAACGGGAGGAATTAATGGCAATGCAGCAGCCGCCAATTCATCCAACAACAATGGTGCGGCAACGCTGGGTACACGAAAAAATAGCGTTCAGAAAAATCCCATCTCTATAATGATGACAGGCAGTACAAGCTCTAATACAAGTAATGTGACAACTACAGTCCCGGCAACACAATTAAATACCCAAAATAATAAAGTAGTAAATAATCGAAAACGTAGTGTAATCGGTTCACCTAACAGTAATTATGAGAACACAGTGAATCCAAGTCTGCCAGTAGCTGCAGTACCAACTAAATGATGACAAATTTTTAAATAACGCAATGCCAAAGCGCTTGCAAGGAGAAGTGGAAGGGGTCGTCATGCAAAAGTTAAGTCCTACTGGCATTGGCGAAATACACGTAATGCTGCGCATACATTTAAAAGGTTAAGGAAATAATTAGTATTAAAAGTACATATTAATATTTCTTTAATATTCCAACAAAATTCTATAGTACATACATATGTACGTCTGCTGTAATACTTTGAATAATTTATTATTTTTACTATGAAACGTAACGTTGACTTTATTCTTAATGCTTTAAGTTAGTTAAGTTTTCAGCAATTAATGTTGACACTTTTACATTAAACTATATGAATTTTTTATATACATAAATATAATCTCATGAAATGATAAAAATAAATTAGTATTTTTTTTTTTTTGAAAATACCAAGCTAAAACAGCTTTTGTGGCGACTTTCTAATGCACAATTACTACTCTGGGTGAAAATCACAAATCCATCTTTAAAAAATTTGTGTGTTAGTGATTTTAGGTAATCCTAATTACAGACAATTCAAAAATTAATTTTTGAAAATTACTGGCTCATTAACATCTGCTTATTCTTCTTTCACTCTTATGAACCTAAACAACTATGGGTGTATGTACATACGTAATTATGTGTAAATATGTATGTATGCATGTGTGTATGTATGCAAACTCAACTTCATTGTATGGGATCCCATACGCACTTTTTCTTTTAACAATTCCGGATTTCCTTTCAACGATAATAAAACGTGAGAACACCCTACTCAATTCACCATATAATAGGGGTTGCATCTTTGGCTCTCTCTCCAAGCATTTCTTAAATGGGGAGGTTTTGATGATTACTGCATAAATATATTCGGAAATATATCTACATGCATATTGACAATGTTTGTCCCAAAACAGCAGGCATTAAAACTGTTTAAATTAAAATTTGAAATTTTTTTTTATTAAAGTTCGGAATATTTTATTTTAACTAAATAAATCTAATAATAATTTTTACTATTTGTTGAATTTATATTGCATTTCTAAGCACGTAAAAGTATGCTGCAGAGAATATGAAACGCTGAAGTGTCTTGTTTTTTTCTTTTGATATTTACTTATACATACATACATCTATTAAAATATTTTTTTTTTTTAGTTCTGAAACATTTTTTATTTTATCAAGCTCTGATATTTTATTTCATCCTGACTGCTGTACGTACACCTACATTCATATATATGGATGTATATACTCGTACATATGCAGATATACAGAATTAGGAAGTTGGCCTCCAATCGTCCTGTTTGTTGCGCTTTGGGTTATTTTATAACTGCGACCAATAAATGCTTACTAACATACATACATATATAGAAACATACGTACATAAGCACATTCAGGCATCCACCGTTCCACCACCAAAACGCTCGATAACCCCAAAGCAAACTACGAACAACATTAAGCGTAAGTAAGTAGTATGAGAAGAAGAAAAGAAAGATAACATACGGATACCAAACATTGGGTTTTGGGCTCACATGAATGCACTGGGTTCGCGCGCACACTATAATAAAAAAAAATTCATAAGGCATAAGGGTATATGCATGCTTGTAGGTTTCTAGCCGTCAATATATGCATTTATATCGTTTATATGTATGTACATATATATACCCATATGCATACATACATATCTACACACATTTGAATATAAGTCAGCCCCTCGTGTTTTTTGGATTCGCTCTCTCATCAACATCATCATCATTGAGTTTGGCTGATACGATACGAAATTGGGCTACATGGACACACATAAGGGCGCAATATTTCGAGCGAGCGAATTAGTTTCTTGTCAGAGCTGTTGTGTGAAAGGTGTTGTCTTCGTCATTTTTGTCCTTAAATCGTGCAACTGAGAGACTAAATGGGATTTGATAGCAGTACACATACATATGTATGTATATGTATACAAAGTGTAAAAGCTTTGAAAACAAATTAATAAACAAAATAAATAAAGAAATAAATAAATAAAAAGGAAAATGTTTGTGCAATGGATTTGGAGAGAATTCTAAGAAAAAAATGAAATGAAATAATAAAAAAAAATAATTATAATAATATAGAACAATAAACCAATCGACAAGGAACTATGCAATAATATAAGGCCATAATTTAACTAATATATAGATACATCTATATACATATAATATATGTATTATATGTACATACATATGTGTATATAAATATATGAATATATGTAAAATGCATTTTATTAAGTGCTTTTAAAGCCACTTACTGAAAACCCAAGAGATTAAAATACTGATTTTAAATTATTAAAATCCTAAAATATAAAATTAAAAATAAATTACAAAATAAAAGCATATAAAACGGATCGCTTCAAAAGCGGTACTTTTACATACTAGCATACATACATATATATGTATGTAACAGCAAGTTTAAAGCATCAAAAGAGGAAACCAAGAACTTCAACAATACAGGGGTAGTGCAAGAAAAGAAAATATTAAAATATAAAGGAGACAAAAAAAAAATACTGAAAAAACAAACACTAATGCAATAAACTTCTTTCGATATCTGTGACAATTTTGGCAATTTATTCGAAAAAAGAGGAGAAACAAAAAACGTAAGGAATCCGAGAGACGCCGAAAAGATTTAACGCATACAGCTGTATACATATATACATACATACAATCAAAAGTCATTAGATTAAAGCATTTCCATCTGCATACGTGCATGTACATATATATGTATTCAGTTCTACATATGTACATATGTATGCACATACATATATTCTACTAAATGTATACAAAAACAAACATTTTCTTCACACATAACATGCATGCAACCATATGTATGTATACATAAATAAACATAAAGAAAGAACTTCCAAAAAAAATTAGAGTTTGGAGAATTGCTGGATTAGAAAATATACGAATGCTATCTTCCGAAATATTTTATTAAAACAAAAACAAATAAAAATAAAATAAAAAATAAAAATAAATAATGAAAATTCCGCAATTTATTACAAAGCTTAAGTAAAAAAGTAATAATTTTATAAAGCAAATTTATAAAGAAAAATAAAATTGGAAGAGAATATGCAGTCAAATATCAACTCAAATACATATTTGGTTGTAATGACAACAAAATTAAAATCCGAATAATATTTCAACAACAACAACAACACTCCAAGAAACCAGAACACAAAAGAGAGGAGCAACACACAAACGCATCGCTTGATACTTGAAAAAAAAAAAAAAACTAACGAAACAAATTTTGTTGGGGAGCAAAAGCTAATTCGAAACTCCAGCTCATACGTATGTGTATGTACACATACACACATACATACATATAGAGCATAATACTCAAAGAGTATTCCACGAAAAATAGTAATAAAGCGGAGACGCCAAGAGCAACGAAACAGCGCAACAAAACAAAAATCAAATTATTGTAAAAGGGAAACGGAAAATACCCCATAGTTTCGTTGGACAGTCAGCCGTCGCTGGGTTTTCCTTTCTATCAGCCACTAAACCATTGACAGCAGAAATATACATACATAAGCAGCAGCAGCAGCAGCGGCAGCAGCAGTAGTAGCAACAGCGACGTCGACACACATACGGCGAGCGATTGCATTTGACGAGCAGTACACACGAATATACAAACATACCATTTTGTATGCCTGTGCCAAGAAGCGTAAGTTTGTTAACGTACATATGTATGTAGGTGTATTTTAGGTACATAATTACGTTTAGATAGTTTTCTTGTTTCAATGCATACATACTTACATACATGTATATGAATCACAAAGCTCAAAAAAAGAATTATTTAGGACTATGTTACATTTGAATCACACAAGGAATGGGGGAATATACGCCAATGCCGGGCTACATACATATGTATGTATATTCAGGTACTTATGTATGTATGCTTGCAAATGTGTGTAATTTAGTTGTTTTATACCATCGGGAAAACCTTTATCTCTTCTCAAAATTTTGAAACCAACTTCATTTTGTTGTTGAAAGTTTTGAATAACTTTATAGTACATACATACATACAAAACATAAAAATGTATTCATAGACATATATACATACATATGTATGTATGTATGCATCTTCAATGCTAGTCCGTTCGCCTGAAAATATGCATTTATTAATTGGAATAGATCGTCACTTTCTTATTAAGTTAAATTTTGCAATTTTCTGTTAAAAATAATTAAAATATAAATATTCCCAGAATGAAAATACCATTATGTTACCATGGCACAAAATATAATAATAAAAATACAATAAATAAATAAAATTTAAAAAAACGTAGTACAAAAATTATAAATATAAAAAAAATTATACATGTATGTACATATGTAATAAAAAAATGTATATAATAAAAAAATTTTAAATTAAAAAAAAAAAAAAATTTAATAAGAAAAAAAAAAAAAAAATAAAAAAAAAATAAAAAAAAGTAAAAGAATCAAAACATAATAAAAGTAAAATAAAAAAACATAAAAATCACAAAAATAAAATTTAAAAATAAAAAAATAAAATTTAAAAAATAAAAAAATTAAATTTAAAAAATAAAAAAATAAAATTTAAAAAATAAAAAAATAAAATTTAAAAAATATAAAAATAAAATTTAAAAAATAAAAAAAATAAAAAAAATAAAAAAAATAAAATAAAATAAAAAAAAAAAAATAAAAAAAAATAAAATAAAAAAATGAAGAAAATTTAAAAGAAAAATATAAAAAAAATTAAAAAACAAAAAAATAAAATATATTAAGAAAAAAATTAAAAACACAAAGATAAAAAATATTAAGAAGAAAATTAAAAAACAAATAAAATACACATAAAAAATTAAAAAATTTTAAAAAAGTTTAAAAAAATAAAAAAATAAAAAAAAAATTTAAAAAATATTTAAAAAAAAATTAAAAAAATAAAAAAAAAACCAATAAAAAAAATAAAAAAAAAACAATAAAAAAAATAAAAAAAAACCAATAAAAAAAATAAAAAAAAACCAATAAAAAAATTAAAAAAATTATAAAAATTATAAAAATTAAAAAATATAAAATAAAAGAGAAATAGAAAACTGAAAAAAAATTAAAAAAGTAAAACGAGACAAAAAAAGTAAAAAATTACAATTAATAAAAAAAATGTGAAATAAAAATTAGTATTAGCATTTTCGTTTTTGGCAATTTTATTGAAAAGAGATCTATTGATTAGGCCACGAAAATATAAACAATAGTAATGTGGAAGACATGAGCGAAGAAATCATCGAATTTTAAATAAACAGATACACCCACCATGAATTTACTCCCAATTAAAATACTCACCAGCAGCCCTACTTCCGTTACTACTCTAAAAGAGAAAATAAAACAGGATAATGTATATAAATATGTGGTGTAATTATAACTTTAAATTATTAAAACTCCTAGCTGGTTGTGTCCCTAAAAATAATATAAAAAGAAACCTAATTAAAATAATAAATTTATGCATAAATTTTAAAGGAAAAGTGCATAGTTTAATTAAATACGAAAAGTAAATAAATAAATGCAGCGAGTAGCTAATATTTATACAGGTAATAAAAATGGTATAAAAAATTAAAATAAAAACAATGAAAGATATAAAAATTATGATATATTAATATAAAAAAGTGTAAAAACATTAAAAAGTAATTACACAAAGAAATGGACAAAAAAAAATAATAAGAGAAATACTATAATAAAAAATAATAATTTTAAAAATATAACATTTACGTATAAAAAGGAAGTAAATAAAATATATAAAGAAAGATAAAACCACATATATAAAAAAACATGTAAAAACATTAAAAATATAAAATAAAAAGTAATACAAAAATAAATATAAAAACCTATAAAAAAGTATAAAAAAGTATAAAAATATCAAACAACTTTATCAAAAAATAAATAATTAAATAAATAAAAATTCTAAAGAAGGGAAAAAGTGCATAATAAATTATAACAACTAAAATTAAAAAAAAAATACATGCATAAATGGAATTATAAAAAATAATTTAAAATCAAAATGCCTGAAGTTTTCAATAATATACATATGTATGTATGTATGTATGTACTACTACGCATTAAAAATATACTACGCACTTTGCAAATGGATGTATATACACATACATACATACATTTATATATATATATACATCGATACAAACACACATACATATATGTTATATATATACAAACATACGTACATATGTATGTACATTGCATCCAAACGAAAAATGTATGTATGTTTGTATATCTGTACAATTTCTTGCATTCTACGCAATATTTTTCTTACTTTTGCACGTAGTCCTTCTGTTCTTTGTCAGTTACATGCATACAGGCGTAAAGTAAGCATTCATAATTACATACATACATATAAATGTATATATTTGTACTTGGGTGAAATCGCACTTATCTACATATGTACATACATACACACAAATGTACGCATTTATATATGTATTTATATCCTTCTGAAGTACGGTTACCTCGGTTACCTCCCAGAAGGGCACATAGAGAAATTGCAATAGTATTTAATCTTTTCTGAGGGTTGAGTTTTCTGTGTTCAAATTTTCTGAGACAAACATTGCTTGGGAGCATGGCAGGCATATTATAAACTAACAACAGGGGTTGGTTTCCAATCGACTGCCTCCACAGCCTATAGCTGGGACGCACGTACACGTACGAGTATGTTTGTATGTATGTACAAAGGATCCTTTTCGTTGGCGTTGCTTTTATTTTACTGTCTGCAACGTTTTTCTCAAGTCAGCAAACTAAAATATATTCAGACATCAATATGTTCATATGTATGAATGTATGAACGCATACTTTATTTCTTACGCATTCGATACGCACATCGATTTATGGTAAAAGAAAATACAATAAATATATATGTATGTACAGTAAAGGCGAAAAATCAGCTACATACTCGTATGTGTGTACGTCGAAGTTGTACTCGTATATGTATGTAGATATATTTTGTAGCTGAAGGTCTATTATTTTAAATTGGGTACGTGCATACGCATTAACTTACATTTAGACATACATACATACAAATGTACTATGTGCATTGCATTCAGCCGTTAACAAAGGACTTGCATAGAATTTCGCTCAGCTGCCTGTAGAAAAAGGTATGTGCAATGTATGCACGCATGTACACGTATGTATGTATGTGCATACAAATAACCTTTGTTCAAAATGCAATCTTCCTGCTATTTGCCATTGTGCATAACCATGAAATCTGCACAAGGTTTTATGCGAAAGGTAATCAAGATCTATGGATCAATACTCGTTCCATAGTTGCATGAAGAAAAGAAAGAAGTTTCGTATGTTATTGCACACCTTTTCCCGTCTACTTTTATGGGAGTTTTCCTTACTTTTGCGAAAACTGTGTTAAATTAAAAGCGTATTATTTGGAGCATTAGGTTTATGATTGATTTACAAATGGACATACATATGCACAAATATAAAGAAATGTTTCACAGGATATAACCGTTAAAATTGCAAAAAAGTGAATTTGTATTGAGAATATTTTAAAGAGTTTTTTTTTATTTCATCGAATCGCCTATTTACTTTACTTTAGGTTAAGTTATGCTGTCTGGCGGTTATGCCGTTTGTAGTGCCAGATGAAGGTTCAATTCGATCGCTCGAGGTATTGTAGTCCGTCGTGTAGGATGTCAACGCGAATTTTAAGAGAGTTTTTGAAAAGCTCTGTAGTTTTTTGCAGCTCCTGGATGTCTTGGAACTATCAAATTGTTTCATTTATAGTTTTACTTGCAAACCCTGTGTAGCTGAGTTGTGTATTTTGTCCAGTTTTCATACTAATTGCTGTTACAAAAAACCTAAATTAAAAATCATTACAATAAAAAAAAACCTCGATTAATACGATTTTTACGATTGTGTGGGTCTCTGGTCCAGATCCAGGAGAGAAAAATAGTTTTCCTAGTAATTTAAGTTAAATAGCCAACATCCGTATTTCAAGTAAATCGAGCCAGAAATACGATTATATAGTATAGGTCAGTCGCTGACCCACAAACCTTCCTGAAAGGGTCAATTGAGACATTTTCAATATATTCTGATGGGTAGTTTCGGAGATCAACGGAAACAAACATACAAACGTTTTATTTATAATATATACATGTACATATATAAACGATTTGCGATTTAGAAGCGCAATGAATTGTGTAAATCATTTTTCTTACTTATAAACATTTTTCATCTAAAAAAATGCAACTATTTTCAAAAATATTTTTTCCATTGAACCTCTGAACTTTTTCTAGTTTGCTACCAGTTTTATTGCAATTTGCAATATTATAATTATTTTATAGTTTTTTTTTTAATTGAAAAATTTACAGATGGTAACTCCCTTAACCTATGGATTGCCTAGGCTGTGTGTTAATTTTTAATCCTAATATATCTCTAGAGCAGCGTGAGACGGCAATTGCAGTATTGAGTAATATTTCCATAACGCCTTAGCGCCACCTAGTGGTTTTTTTCAGACATTTGGGGTTTGAAAACGAAATAAAACGCATATAACTTATTTTTATGGCCAATAATTCAGTTTGCATTTATATTGTAGAAAAAGACGTGGCGAACACTTCTTGCGGCAATCGCAGTCGTTAATCAGCAATAACGCGCCGAATATTCTCTTTCAAGGCGTTAATCATCTCAGGATTATCTGCATAGACAATTGAGTTCGCATAACCCCACGAAACATAGTCCAGTCTTGCTTAAACCAATGGAGACCATGCCCCAGGTAATTCGCCACGTGAGGTAATTCGCTTGACAAAAGTTTCCTGCAATGACTTGTAGCGCCATCTTTTTGGAACCAAAGATGACCCACATCAACATCGTTTAATTCAGGCGGGAAAAAGTCATTAATCACAGCTTTATGGCGTTCTCCATTGACTGTAACATTATGATCAGCTTCTGTCCATAGAGAATACCAAGCAGTAAATTTTTGAAGTCGAGTTGGATTTTGTAAGCCTGCAAACCAAGAACTTACTCCAAAATCTTCGATTAAGTGGATGGACACAGCTCCAATTGTTGCACACGTTGGCGGATAGATTCATTCATCTATCTGAATATAATTGTCTTTTTAGCGATGAATACTTATGCCCATCGTTCTGTTTTCCTGCGAAATCATTGTACCTTTCATTCAAGCTACCAGACCATTGCAGTGTATTCCAAGCCGATAGCTCGACTATCAAAGAGACTGTTAGACATGTGATTAAAGAGGTGTTGTTGTTGTAGCGATTGTCCAATCCCGCTAAAGAGCAGGAAAAACCTTAAGTAAGCAACTTATAAAATCCACAAGGGAATGTGGGTGTATGGAGAAGGAGGCAGCAAATTTTTGGTGGAAACACAGTAGGCCTATTTTAGCTTAAGTATTCAGATGTTCGTAAACACATCTAACTACCTGCGCCGGAGGATTCTTCTACGTCCATTAAGCATCAGACCGAATAGAGGGAAAATGCCCCATTAGCTGTTTTCAGCTGCCGGTCAGGGCGCAAAACGTTTTTTTTTTTTTTTTTTTTTTTTTTTTTTTTTTTTTTGAATTCCATAAACAATTAATGTTTGGATTTATGTATGTACGTTTTTCATTTATTCTAGGTTAAAGCGGGAAAATGGAAACATTATATACATATACATATAATACATACATGTATATACATACACGTACATATGTATGTATGTAGGTAGGTTTTGTGCAATTTTGCCTGCTGCGATAAGCAGCTGAAAAAGAATCTCTTTATTTTCAAAAATCACCATGTCGACGTAAAGAGCGGCGGAACTGATCCTTTAGATGCATCAAATAGAAAACAAAAACAAAAAACGTTAACAAAGGAAAAAACACATGTTACAAAATTGTGCTCAGCCGTACATACTTAAATAATATTTTCTATGCACACACACGCACATACATATATACACCTACACTCAAACTGGTAAATATGTATATATGCATGTATGTATGTATGTATGCCGACATTGACACAAAGGAAAATTGAAAACTATTTGTGACCTGCTGCCTACTATTACATACCTGCCTGTATATGTATATATGCATATATATGTAAGTACATACACATATACACATACGGCTTCATGAAGTTTTAAATAGCACTCCTTGCTCCAGCCATGATCAGTCACTTAAGTGCATCCGTCTGAGATACAACCGATAAACTCAAAGTTTATTTATTTTAAATGCGAAAAATAATTAAATAATTATAAGAACTTTTAACTAACATATCATACATACATATAAAACATACAGTGTCAGTGTACAAGAATATTTTTGCTTTTTCTACCCACAGAGTTTAAAGTTAATTGTTGAAGAGATTGACTTCTTCTCGATTATTCGAGAACTTTTGCTGAGGTCATTAAGTGAGACTTTATGATGGATCTCGTACAAAACATACCGTCTGCCACCGCCGTCCCAAAAAAATCACTGCCACCCAATCGCAATAACGCATCCAACACGCCATCACCACCATCACAACCGAGTACGGGCACGATGACGAGCACGAGCACGAGCACGAGCACGACCAAAGGACATTATGCAAATGGCTTTGGGACTGGTGCTATTAGTAAAAATGGCACAAATGGTACAAATGGCTCTACCACCACGACAGATCGTTTGATTGCTGGTATTTTTGATAAGTTTCCATCTTGGGATATGACTGGTCGATCTATGGCTAATCCACCACCACCACCACCGTCTAAAGACAAGTGAGTACCAAATATTTTCTTCATTTCCATATACAAACGGTCGCGGAGACCATTTTGTGTTGTACATCGTAAAATATATGTATTAAATCATAAATCTCAAAGCGATCCAACAAAAGATTACATCGTACAGATTTAGCTTGTTTAGTTTTCCAAGATTTTTGGAAGATTGCATTTTTGAATCACTTAGCGTGGCGCGTTAGTTCGTAGAAGTAGTAGTAAAGGCCGTTAATCAGCGGGGAGCAGCACCTTCCAAATTAAGGTATCGAACATTTCAGGTGCATGCTCTTAACTCATAGTCCATAATACGCTTGCAGTCTCTTCTCTATTGGAGCTGGCTTCTTCGCGGGGGACCCAACCCCAATACACAACGTCGCTAGGTTTGAAATGTGTTCGCTATATTGGTCAAGTAAAACGTTCGTTCGGTTCAGGCCTCTCTTGAGGTCAACTTCTAACCATTAAGCGCGTTCACCATGGACAGGAAAATGTGGTTATCATTTGGTGCCAGGTCCGGACTATAAGGTGGGTGCATTAGGTGGGCCTCCCATCCGAGCACCTGGAGCTTCTGGTGCGTCACCAAAGACGCGTCTGGCCTGGCATTGTCCTGATAGAACACAATCCGGCCTCTGTTGATGAGCACTGCCTACAAACGGTCCATATGTTGGCAGTAGAGGGCTGAGTTGAGCGTTTGGTCAAAGACAAACTTTTAGTGCGAATAAACACGTTTTCAGCGCTGTAGATAGTATGAAATGTGCAACACTTGAACTACGGACAATAACGCCATCTCTAGATAAAAACCAAACGAACTTTTTACTGACCTTAATATATTATACAATTTTGTAGCAAACCGCTTGCTTCAAGACCGACGCCCACTCGCAGCCGCAACTCTAGTAAACAGACGCAGCAAATAGACTTTAGCGAACCCCTAAATCGAATACGTCGGAGTGTATCCGTTAAGGCGTGAACCAAAGCTCCACAAGGGTAGGTTGCCAACGTTTCTAGGAAGTGCAACGAGGAGTAGGAAGAAGCTTTGCTACATCTCATTATACCCCAAATTAGTGGTTCAGCATCTTTTTCGTTTTTCATCATTTTGGGGACCGAAATAAATTCTTCTTTCTCAATTCCCGCTTCACCTGTTTTAAAGTAAATTCTAATTTCTTTTTCTAATACTGTTTGTTCATACGGTTTGAGCGCATCTTTATTAAATTGTTTTTTTAAGATTAGAAGCTCTTGGAAATAGTCATCAGATATTTCATACAAATATTTCAACTAACCTTTCCTGAAATCGTCTCATGTACTGTGTACTTCAAGGTCAAAAATCGCCTGAAAAATTATACCTTTATCGTCGGATTATCAGGTTGTTAATCGTATCCTTGATATCAAATGCTACCCCTTGCTTGCATTTGATTCAGTAAGCTTTCCGCTATCTACTCCCCATAATTCTGCATAAATTGGCACACTCTCCATGTTACCGGCCATGACATATACGAAGGGCAGCTGATAAGCTCACGACCTAAAGTACTTAATAAATTTAATGTATAGTTATTATAGTCTCCCTCAAGTGAAATACAGTTTTCACATCGTGAATACACCGTAAAAATAATCTCACTGTCGCCTGAAAATCCTCATCCCAGTAACTCCTTTTTTAAATTTGAAAAAAAAAGGAAAAAGCACCAGCCAGATCCGGACCGTAGGGTGGATGGTCAATTTCATGTAAATCCGGTAGTTTTTAAATCATCCCTTGCAGTCCCAACGGTCTTAAAGAAATAACACTCCGCGTGCTAACTTGGCACGTCTCTTACGCATGACTGCCTCTCGCGCCTAACTAAACAAACTCATTGTAGCCATAATCTTCGACGCCGACTTTTGGTGGCCTTTTATTCACTGCATCGGCTACTGTTTGGACTCGGGATCATACAAATCCAATTTTTATCAACTGTAACAATGCCGTTGCAAATTTCATCCAAATCTTCTTGGCACAACTCGATAAAATCTTTACAACTCTCCAATCGTCGCTGCTTGTCGAGCAGCTTAAGCATTTGCGGTACCGAATGCAATCAATCTAAGTCGCCTAGGTCATCTAGTGGGAGGTCCAAGAAACGTCCAGACCTTAGTTGTGCTAAGGTCATATAGGTCTTTCGAGGCAGCTCGAGCTTGTTATCTGCAATGGGTGGTAGTTTTTTTCCTAGCGCGGCATTCACTGGAAAGGGGTCTTTGAAGGTGTTGACTGACTCCTGGTGAATGGCGTTCACCTGTCCAGCAGTCTTTGCTTACTCCCTTTTTGATGTACCTAGGTGGTGCTTCAACTTCAATGAGGTACCTATTGGGGTATTCGCTACAGTAGGAATTGTTTGCACAGCAAATCATTATGCTCCTTAACTCTTAGCATAGATGTTTCGCTATGCAAGTGATGCTCCGGCGACATCAGGAGGTTTTATGTAGAGGTCCTGAGGGCGGTGTTCTGGCAAGCCTGTAGCTTCTTCAATTGCGTCTCGTTCGTCCCCGGCGCCCAGATCGACCGGCCAGACAATTATTTTATAAGTAGCCAGGAAAGTTTCTTTGTCTTTACCCCAGTTGCTGCCGGCTAGCGCTTTGATTATTTTGATGCGGCTCTGGAGTTTTGCGGCAATCGCGATCGTATGCAGAGTGGAGGAGTGCAGGCTGTCCAGTGTCACTTCCAATGTCTTTGGATTATTTGCAGTCGGTATTTTTGTGTCATCGACCTTCACATCTAGTTCAAGCCTGTATCCTTCGTCCAGCTGGTGAAGAGAGTAGCCGAGAATTTAGTCGGTCGTACTTTTAACTTTAGTGCAGTGAAGAAGTGAGAAAGATCGGCAAGGTAGCAGTTCACTTTCGAACAGAGGTCATCAATATGCTGGCCAGACGTCATTATCGTGCAATCATTGGCATGCGAGGTTAGGGAAACTCCTAACTATCTGAGTGTTTAAGGCGAGTCGATGTTGGGTCCTCGGAGTGTGCGCACGTCAAGAACAATGGAGACATGTCTTCCGTCTATAACAACATGATCGACCTGGTTTTGTGTTTTTTCGATCTTGGGTCCCGACAAAGGCAATCAGCCTCAACCCATTAGGGGATGTTTCGTTGTGAAGGCTGAATTTTCCAACAGTCGCACCAAAGATACCTTCTTTGCCCATCCTGGCATTAAAATTGCCAAGCTCGATTTTCACATCGTGTCGGGGGTTGCGCTCGTAAGTATGCTCTAGGCGTTCAAAGGGTAAATGCCAGTATTCGACGACGGAGTCTCTCTCCCAACACAAATTCGACCCCAAATTTGTGCTCCTTTATATAATTTTTCGATCAGCAACTTTTTCTTCACGACCGTCACTGGGCGCCCCGGACGGGGTGCATCTTCACAGGGTTCTCTTCCTTGTTGAAACAGCCGAGCTCTTACTGAGCGGGCAGAGCACTGAAGAACCGATGACAACTGTTTAAAAGTTTCTTTCACTGCACTCTTTTGTTTGCAAGGAATTTAATCACAGCGCGATGCTCCGAATTTCGAGAATTTCCTGTTTCCTTTGACATATTTTTGTTGCCATCTCTTGTCCTTTAAACTGCGTTCGACTATAACTGAGACGAGCTATAGCTAAGTCCAGACAGAAACAGAAGGGGTGCTCTCACGTCTCATTTATGACCTCTTCCCTGCGCTCTTACTAACGCACATTCTGCTTGTGTGGATTTGTCGGTAGATTTTAGTCCGCCATTGGACCTTGCCAATAAAATCTATTTACTTGTATATTTAATTAAAGAGTTATCAACTCACGTATTAATGACCTCATCTTCTATGTTCCTTTACAGTTCCAGTTCATCGCCACCCAAGGAGTTCGGCAAAAATGCATTTTTTGGAGATTTCGTGATGGGCAATTTCTGTGACAATGTTAATGATAACGGTGATGACAACGTCATCGCTCGACCGAACAAGAAACGTAGCAATAAAAATTCATCGTCTGAATCATCCAACAATTCAAGTATAACTTGTAGTTGGTGTGATTTAAACGCAACTACTCATTGCATTCAATGTAATGAGTTATTGTGCAGTGGCTGTGTACATCAACATTATAGAATATCACCTGCCAAAACTCATTCGATTGTTACGTGGCCCACACTTCCTGGCTGTGTGCCTCAAGTGGTTGGTACCTTCTGCGTAGCGAGTGGTATGTTTCCTCAGCCGATTGGCACCAAGCCCACCAACTTCAATAGCGGTGCCATACCGAAAACTAATGTAAAATTGCCCAAACCGATTGGAACCTCACCGACTGGCGCACCAATTCCCACCAAACCACCGAGCCGTGCTGCTGCTGATTTCCCAAACGATATACAAAGTGAGGATTTTCGCTATTTTTGCGATATGCATCTTGAGCATTTGCGTTACGTTTGCGATTCGTGCAAATCGATGATTTGCCAGTATTGTACCTTCCAAGAGCATAATGATCATAACTACATTGCGGTCGGAGCATATGTCGAAGAAGCAAACGAGAGGATAAGAGCGGCACTCGATAGTAGTCGTACGGGCACCAAGTGCATTAAGAATACCATAGACAAAGTTTTGACATGCATCAGATGTGTCGATCGTAATTTTAACGAAATCATCGATAATATTCATAAATCGTTTCGTCAATATCTACTTGCCTTAGAGGATCGTGAACGTTTCTTAGTTGATTTTGTCGAGAAATTACGTCAACGTCGTTTAACTGTTTTAAACGACCAAATGGCCGGCTTGAAATCAGCATTAGCTGGACTCGCCGAAACGTCAGTAATGTTAAACAAGGTTTCAACTAATAGCGAAAATATGGAGGAAACAGATATCGCTATTAAAATATCAAATGGCCTACGCCAACTGGAACAATTCGCTGCCATACATCAAGATCTACAGCCAAGACAGGAAGTATATGCCTTCGTACCGCCAGATTATAATCTTTTGCAAGAGTTACGCGCCCAAGGTGGTGTCGTTTTGGTGGAGGATCCCAATGCGCCTCCTTTGCAGAATTCTGGGCCTCTAATTCCACTTCAATGTGCGGAAATGGGTGCAATGGCTTTACCTCTACCTGGCGCTAATGGCCAGACGGCTGCCAATATGCAAATGATACCAGTTAACAATAATGGAGCGCGTCGTCCGCCATTTACGCGTGAGAACAGTTTCCGTAGCATTGAGTCACCCTTGTTGCAATCGTTGGGTACTGGTGTTGCCACTGATGGTTACCACAATAACAATCTTGAATGGGAAAGGAACGTAATGCGTATCTCACCGAATTTACATTTTGGCGCACCACGTACCACACAGGCCATACCGGGTTGCAATGAATTGGTCAGGGCACGTCATATGCTAACACCCACGATATCATTCGCAACCGAGGGACATGACGACGGACAAGTTAGTCGTCCGTGGGGATTGTGTGTTGATAAATTTGGCAATGTTTACATCTCCGATAGACGTAATAATCGTGTGCAAGTATTCAGTTTAGAGGGTATGTTGAAATTTAAATTCGGTCGGAAAGGTGTTGGAAATGGTGAATTTGATTTGCCAGCCGGCATTTGTGTTGATATGGATAATCGTATTATTGTTGTGGACAAGGATAATCATCGTGTACAGATTTTCACAGCGAATGGCTTATTTTTGTTGAAGTTCGGCAGCTATGGCAAGGAGTATGGACAATTCCAATATCCATGGGACGTGGCTGTGAATTCACGTCGCCAAATTGTTGTTACCGACTCACGTAATCATCGTATACAACAATTCGATTCGGAGGGACGCTTTATACGTCAAGTTATATTCGACAATCATGGCTTAAATAAGGGCATTGCTTCGCCACGTGGTGTCTGCTATACACCAGCTGGAAATATTATAGTGTCGGACTTTGACAATCATTGCCTGTATTTGGTCGATCCGGATGTGAATGAGGTACATATGTTTTGCTTATCATTATACATATATATACATATTTGCATAAATGTAAATGAACATATAATTTTGCAAAATTTCGCATTTCTTCTAGGTTTTGTCCGCAAAAGGTCATGAGGGCTCTGGCGCTCAAGAATTCAATCGTCCTTCTGGCATTTGCTGTGATGATGACGGCCGTATAATAGTAGCAGATTCCAAAAATCAACGTATAGTTATTCACTCGCCCGCATTGGATTATTTATGGAGTGTAAGTTAATTCGAAATATTTATATGTATGTATGTTCATACGGTATACGGTAGATCTCAACCATGTGACATATTTTAGCGCTTTTTAGAAAGTTGATGAATCCCATACTCGTAGCCAAAAGAAATCCTGGAATCTCTAGACTGAAAAATGGAGAGTTTATCCACATTAGTCCACAAGTACCCATACAGTGTTGCAGTTCAAAAAATGATATTAAGGAACGCAGACTCTACTAACCAATTTACCATATGAGCACTCCATTCGTTACCTGTAAACAAGTAAAAGTACAAATAAGTTACGTATACGCAATGTTGTATCCTCTTCTTCTTCATTGGCGTATACACCGCTTACGCGATTATAGACTAATCCAAAAAAGCGCGCCAACTGCTTCTTCCCTGTGCTATTCGGTGCCAACCGAAAATACCAAGTGAAGTGTCAGGTTGCTGCCCACCTAATCTATCCAATGGAGTGAGGATCTTCCTCTTCCACTGTTTAACCTTTCGCGTACTGTATGGAATACCTTCAAAGCTGTTGTGCTTACATCCAATCGCTGAACTATGTCAATGTCATTGCTTATCGCGTGAATCAGGGAGGTTCTTCCTATTGTCGATCGCACTTCTGATATTGTCTAATGTCAATTCACATAGCCAGATAAGTTGCTACTTTTCACATGGGTCTGGTGATTGGGGATAATTGGCGCAAGCTTCATATGCATAGATCAGAGCACATTTTGGCAAGAAATGTCGGTGGTTCGCCGCTATATTTGAATCTCTCAGCCGACAAGTCATTGGTTCCCGCCGTTGTTTATGCTTTTATGGCGGGCAATTTCATTTCGGACTTTATCATATTCGGGAATGGATTGTAATAGATGTTATCATCGTCGACCGCGACAGGAAATATTCTGAAGTCGCCTGAGCATAACTTGTACAGCGAGCGAGTTAAGGAGCATAATACTTTGCTGTGCAAGCAATTTCTACTGGAAGCTACCGTAGAGAGCACTAGATCTGTATTACACAATCCAGCAACATGTGTAACAACCGCTGTACAGGACGGCATTCAAGCAGGCTCCAAAAGCCATTCACCAGCAGTCTTTCAGCATCTTCAAAGACCCTGTGAATGGCGTCCTTGAAGCGAAATCACCACCGATAGCATATAAAGAGCTCGAGTTGTATCGAGAGACCCGTGTAATACCGGCGCAACTTAGGTCTGGTTACTTAACGTATGTCCAGCATGTAACAAGGCTCCGCAAGACACTAAACGCTACTTTACATGCGCGATAAAATCGACATATCTCAACCTTCTCTCCCACACGCCGAAACAGCTCGTTTCCTAAATCTCCAGTTAGATGACTTCGGTGAGTTAGACTAACTAGCCTGTCCCTAAACGGAGATGAAAAAGCTGCTACAATAGCAACAACAACCACAGCAACAATGACCCACAGGAGAAATTTTCGAGCTGTGGACAACGGTCAAAAGATTACTTCCCTGATGCGAAGGAAGCTTGAAATGTCGTTAGAGTTTCCTTATGTCGTTTTTCTGATGGGTACTATTAGAAGGCAGGAATGCAATTCGAATCTAAAACTAGCTTTTGCTGTCTGCCGTCGAACCTTCCCTGTGCTTGTAGACTAGCTTTCTTTGCCACTGCGTCGATATTAGGACTTAACAACGTGCTTGCAAATAGAATACTGGAGACATTTTTTATGATTGATTTGTTTAATTTTTTTGTGCTAAAATCTAGTGCAGACAATCAACTTCGCATAGCTGTGATGCTCATCAGCTTTAGACCGTTTGAAGTGGCCTCGTCGGACGGACGTTGAATTTTCCGTTCTTATACGTCGAGAAGATCGTGGACGCAAATCAGCAATATGTTGAGGCGTTATGCTTTGAGGCGCCGCTAGACGTTCAATCAACGCGCTGCCCTTTTCACTATAAATTCAACAAGAAATTAGCACTGCTTTGTATGACCGCTGTGGCAAATTTCACAAAGACCCACCTACTTTGGCCCTTGTCCGGTTCATTGCACTTCTGAAGGCAGTGTCATAAAAACGAGGCCTCTCATCCGAGGCTTTTTGTAATTTTGGGATGGATGGCAAAGTCCGCCATTTTTCTTCTCTCATCTCATCTCATCCTTTATATATATTGAGTCGTCCCTCGGGAGAAAATGTCAAACCCGCCGAATGCATTTTTGTCATGAAATAAATTATATCACGTCGCACGCCACATTTTGAGGGAGAAGCTCGGCTGAAAATCACTTCAGCGGCTACAAATGTTTTACTCTATTTATTTTGATTTTTAATTTAAAATTTCCTAAAATTAAACTTTTTTTTCACGCCTTACAGATCGATATACGTCCGTCTATAAACCGTTTAATGCCGCCAACAATCGATGAGAAGGATCGCACTTGTGATGTTGCTGTGTTGCCCGATGGGCGCATTGTTTTCCTAATCGAATTATCACCGGATTCCAAAGAAGGTACAAGTCCTTATAAAAGATTTGTGCATATTTTCTAATTAAAAGTTGAATATTAATATATTATATTATATAATATATACATATGCAACTACTCGTAACAAAATAACGCCAAGCATATGTTACTAAAAATGTTTTCTTTTTTTTTTTTTAAACGTATTAATTGTGTGTAGTAAGTTGCTTGGAGATACCTATTTTGTTAGTTGTGTAACAACACACATATATTTATGTATATGTATAAAACCGTATATGCAAAGGCATACATTCTTTAAAATTATGTATGTGAAAAAAAAATTACATTTTTTTTTTTGCTTTTTTACAATTGAGACTGAATTAACAGAGTTTAATGTAAAAATTCACTTGATTGTGTTCATTAGAATTTAAACAGGATATTAGTAAAAATATTTAGTTGATAAGTGCGCGCAAATGAAAAACAAAAGAATGATCAAAAAACAAAAAAATTATAAAAATATGTATGTCTAAAAAACCAGCAGTAGGCTTACTATGTTTTTTATTTTTTAAATATACAAAAAATTCATACATGACTTATATTTTGTAAGGACAATAGTCAAAATTATTAATGTCGCCGCCCGCAGAGGGCTGCAGTCGCAATAGCCGGCAGGGAATGTGAAGCGCTCGGAGTATATTTCAGACATGAAATAAAAATTCCTCATAAAAATCGGTGGGTGCTGGTGATAGTTCTAAAATTGCTCTAAGATTGGGCATTTCTCATTCTAAATTACACGAGGGCTCTCAAAAGATTCTTCATGAACGCCTTTTATTTGTATAATTTCCAATGATTTTTATTTAAGCTGCACATATATAAATATGTATATGTCATATTTATGAACGTATGTGAGTGGTTGATAAAAAAACTTCATACCAGAGCGTCCAACCAACACTTTTTCATGTCCCAGCACGTTCTCTTCGACTACGGTAGTCAGTTTTACTGATCATCTCATTTCTTTTTTTTTTGTTTGTTCGTTTCAAATCCTTATTTTAAAGTTAAAAACAAAAATTTATTATATAGTATACACAACACTTCCATTATATTATTTGTGTTATGAAAAGAAAAAAGAGCGCCAAACCATATACGCACCGCCCCTCTGCATAACATGCTTGTAATCCATGGAGTATCTACGGGAAATTATTTTTTAAACTACTCCCAAAAAGACATCATATGGAGTACATGCCGTAGGTTACATGGTGATGGAGTATTTACAAAAAAATTATATTCCAGCAAACTTTTTAATTTCTTATTAAATACCCTTTTCGAAAAGTTAGTAAATCATCATATGTGCCATATAAATGTACAATATGTATATTAATGGTAATTATTTATTACAAATTTATGCCTTATAAATATACATATTTCAATTTGAGCATTTGTTCGTTTTGTATTGGAATATATTAAATATATTCACACAAAGTTCTACAGCAGAGCTCACCATCGAAACGAAGCTCACTTAATATCAGCTTCACATAGTTTCCTTAAACGATCCTAAATCTTACTGCGCACTTGCAACTGCATTTAGCGATTGCAGTAACTTTAAAACACTAACAGAGCAGGGTGGTTAGCAAGAAGTGAGTTGATCCAATAGTACATTACCGAGTAGTACCTATTGGATTACTTTATTGTCCGAATTCCTTTTCATATACATATGTATGTCTACTCAAGTAATATATGCATGTACATACATTTGTATGTATTTAAAAGTTGGGGAAAATCCAATTCAATCCCATACTTGCGACCATTGAGCGCTGTTCAGAAATCTGGCTTACAGATCTTCCATCTCATATTATCATATTCAGCCATGCCCTGCATTGCACTTTCGAGCGCAAGTATTGTATTGTACAATGAAAATACTTCACTTTAACAGTTTGGCGTCCCGCATTCCATCCACTTCATTTCAGTTTCAGAAATTGCCATTTTCCGAAAACCGATTTTCCCCAAAAGATATGTAGTTTCGAAGCACTTTGAAGTTCTTCTGTGGGTTTGTCGAAAGAGCTAATAAAATAATAATAGCAAAAGTGTATTTATGTATATTAAATCTTTAAAATATTTAACGTTTAGCGTAAAACATACATACGTATAGGGTAAAGTATTCCATTATGCTACCCTTTATGCATGCCCATTAAGACTTGGCCAAGTGCTTCAGCAAAACTGTTGATGTTGGCAAAACATGTGTTGGAGGAATAAATGAGGCTAACGAGAATAACCTTCGCCGCACAGGCTCAACGTACATTCCTTCATGTCTTCATGAATTTCAAGTCTCCGTACGATACTAACTCTCTCTTTGTCGCGTTTAATCAACTCATTTAACCCCAATCTCCCTACTGTTTATCTATCGAATCCCGTAGATTATATTGAAATACATCATCGCATCTTACTAAAGACATAAAGACATTTGCTTTGATTGCTAAAAAAATTTAGCTAATTGCGGAAAAATGTAACTTCGAATCTCTATAAATTCGAAACGAATTTCATTTCACTATTTTTCTAGAACATGGGCGATTATCAAATAATACTGCTCAATATATTGCCATAAGTTTATGTAAACTGTTTACAAGATTTTAAAATAATTTTATAGTATTCTATTTTAAATAAGTACCCGAACTAAGTTCGTACAGTTTCATAGCAGCTGTCGGTTAAAATTTGAATTCGTGCGTTCTGGGCCGTCGCGGCGGCACTAATTTAACTTTTGAAGCTTAAGCGTCGTAGCCAGTACAGCCTGCCGAGAGAATGATGTGTGCAGCTGAGAACAGCGGTTTGAACGTTTCTAAGATGACGAGATATAAAACTCTTTACTTCGTGAGAGCGCTCAAAAATCTGCAATAATAATATTTCCAAACAGAGTCAGTGTGGTGGAAAAATACCTTCTTAGGATTTTTAGAGGTTTTTGGGTATTCAAATTACCAGCAAGAATTACCTCAGACGTTCTGAAAAGCAATTTTATTCCAATATTTCATCATCAAACAATGGAAAATTTAATTTCTTTAGTTTTACATTAAAAATACAAAACAATTTTTTTATTTTCTGCTGCAGCAAGTTTCTGTTTAAATTAAAACAGTGGATTTTTTTATATTTACATAGAGGTACCGGTAGTGCCTCTGCACAGCAGCTGTTGAAGGCAAAGATGACTAGATACGAAACTTACTCAAATCGCAGCTGAGAGCGTTCCCCCATCTCACATTCTAATGTTGGCAGCAGTGTCAGATCGGGGAACATTCAACATCTGATGTGCAAAAAGCACCAGTGCCACTATGCCAATAAAAAAATCCATTGTTTTTGTTTCAAAAGAAATTTGCTTCAGCAGTAAATATTAAAGAAATTATTGTAATTTTCAAAAGAAATTTGCTTCAGCAGTAAATATTAAAGAAATTATTGTAATTTTATTACTAAAACTTATTATAATTAAATACTGAATTGTTTCTCAATGAAATTTTTCAGTGAAATTGCAATTAGAGACGTCGTTGTTTGTAATAAAATACCCAAAATATACCTAAAAATCCAAATAAGTCGTTTTTCCATCACAGTGGCACTGTTCAGAAATGTTATAAAAAATGCGGATTTTTGAGCGCTCTCACGGAATAAAGAGTTTCGTATCTAGTCATCATTGTTGAAGGTTCCCCGAACTGACACTGCTGCCAGCACTAGAATGTGCGTGGGGGTAACGCTCTCAGCTGTAATATGAGCCAATTTGAGTAAGTTTTGTATCGAGTCATCGTAGGTAGGTAATCGAATCGTAATCGCCGAGTAGTAACATAAATCAGTTTGACTATTGTCACTTTACAAAGTGGATATGAATTATGTAAACGCATAACGTTCCGTTAGTACAAATTGTAATTTTAAATGAATTTTTGTATGTGGGTGTCTATTACATATTTTAAAATAAATCAATTTTGTTATAATTATGTAGTAAATTTTATTTTGTCAATTAAGTACATAAATATACAAATTTTAAGTATTTATATCGAAGAGACAAAAAAAAAACAAAAACAAAAACAAAAACAAAAACTGTTTATACGTTACTAAAATGTTGGCGCAAGTGTCAATAAAAAAAGGAAACAAAAAATTTCACAAAAATAATATATAAATATACATACATATATCCATATATGAGGCTGGTTCAATTTATGCAGGCATTAAAATTATATGAAACTTCACGAGTATTATTTGGTGTAAACGCACACAATTACAAAGTGTTTGAGAGAAAACTTTATTAGAAAAACAAAAAAAAAAACTAAAATGAGATTTTTCTCAAGCGACATTTTTTAACTTTCAACTATTGCATACACACTCATTCATGCTCATCTACATACAATATATATACATATAGTTTTTAATACAGCAAATTTTTACCCATTCCATTATTTCCAAAATCTACGCGCATTTAATGTAGAAAAATCATAATTAGCCAAAATAACAAAATCAAAAACTTAAGGCGCACACACACACTCATACACACATACATATATACATAAGTCATGACGAAAAATTCTATGTACGAAAATATGTTTTTTTTTCTTATTCGTATTAACTATGTTGCATAACAATTCAAAAATACGGATTAAATTTAGCTTTGGTATATATATATATATATATATATAAATATATAGATATGAAAATTTAGAAAAATTACATATTTGGACACAATACATATGCACATCTCTGCTATGTAACAACTCAAATGCCATTGCTAAATTATAATTTCAAATATAAAAATAATAATAATAACAATATACAAACATATACATATGTATGAATGATTAATTGCAACAAAGTTCATGCAATGAAATTTATAAACAAATAAATATAATATATTAATTAATAACATTAATTAAAATTAAATATAAACAAACATAAATATTATATATAATATAAATATGAATAATATTCATGCAAGAAAGACAGTTATGTCAATGCATATATTTATAATTCTTTTATATTACCTACATATGTACTTGCGCATATAATGTAAACCCCAAACAAAAGGGGTTAACTCAAAATACAAAACCAATCTAAAAACTTTTTTCCAAAAACATACTTACATACATACATATATACATATATATAACTCAATTTTATACCTACAATTGAATTAAAAAAAAAAGGCTACATATTATTATACGTACTTAACGGTAAAGCAAAAATCACAAAACATATACATAGATATATTAAAATATTAATATATACATATGCTTATAAAATTATAAAAATCTACATATATATGTATACATACATATGCATATGTATATGAAAAAAACGACGATTAGTGCATAAACGACGAAAAGACATAAATTAATAGCAAAAATTTATAAACTTTATTATTGCAAATGGAAAAAGCGAAGTTTGAAATCAAAAATTTTTGATTGATGTGCAAGGAATGCATGAAAAAGCTATAGTTTTTAAACGAAAACTATTTAAAAAAAAAAAACTAAAAAGTTCCTGAAATTGATTTCAAAATTGAAAAGGTCTTTAAAAAAATATACTTATGTATATGATTTTCCCCTACTTAGAATGCTGCAAAAGAACTAATCTGAGCACAAAAAAAAACGGTTAAAGAAAATTGTTTAAATTTAAAAAAAAAATAAAACAAAAATAAAAACACTCTAGCTGCAATGAAATTGAGGAAGCGAAGAAGAATCACGTATGGCATAGTAAATTCATTTTTTTTGTTATTATTTTTATATTTTATGCTACAAAAAAAAAATTATACTTTTAAGAATTACGATAATTTGCTAGTAGAAAAATCGATAACCCAAACTACTATGATTTGAACGAACTGAACGATTATGGTGTGCACGAACCGAAAGTCGTTAAACCGAACGTTTATGTTTTGAACAAATACAAAACAACAAACGTTATATTTTTCTGACTGCAATACTTCGAAAATGATCTCAACTGGAAAAAAAAAACTGACGAAAAGTGGCCAAAACTATTCTCTATAAACTATTTTGAAAGCTACTACAAGTAATTGAAATTGAAAACGAAAACTTCATATAAAATGTTTTTTAATTAAACGAAAAACAAAAAAAAAAAACAATAATAATAAACGCACAAAAAACTATAAGTCTGAAACATTAAGGCTTCGAAAACTATTTAAGATGCAAAATTTTAGTTAAAAACAAATATGGTTGCAAAAAATAAAAACAACCATGAAAACGTCTTTAAAAAATGTTTTAAAAATAACATGAAATATTAACAAAATATGAGAACGTCTATCAAAAAGCAAATGATTTTGAAAGTGTAATGTGTTGGAAATCAATTTGAAGACTAAAGGACACAAAAATTAGAAAAACTCGAAAAAACTATGATTTTTAAGCGCCAAAGCCACGCTTAGAAATGAAATTGGCATAAAGAAAATTAAGATATTGGACATAAAAATATTTAATTGTCAAAGCATGGGACTAAAAAATTTAATTTAAAACTGGCGCAATAGTTTTTGAGTTAAGAGAAATGTCATGTCATAAACGGACAAGAGAAATAAAAACAAAAAAGGAAAAACGAGAAAAAAAAAATTATGTACAAAATTTTCAATGCAATTGGAGAGAAATTTGGCAGTTGTTTGGAGGCGAAATTCGAACGAAAAAAATTATACTATTAAGTAATGAGAAATTATAAGCGAGCAGCAAGTAAATAATTATTTAAATAAATTAAGTAAAAATGTACACTAAGTTTGAGGTTAGATTTTTTGAAAAGCCTGTCAAGAGAGCTTAACTACATAAAGCTACAAAAGCGAGACTAAAAACAAAATAAAACTAAAGTTATTTAAGGCAAAAAAAAACGACTTTGGAAAAATTTTTAAATTAATAATGATTAACGCGTGCGAAAAAAATAACCGAAAATAAAAACATTACAACAAAATTAAAAATTTGTTTTAAAACAATGTTTTCGTAATAAAATGCTAAAAAGATTATTCCAAGTGAAACACCAATTTCGGCATAATTATTTTAAGTTCGCTAAACAAGGCGATAATGATTAATAAAATTAAAAAAAAAAACAAAGCCAATTATAATTTTTAAATTAAAATGCTTGAAAAGTAGAAGCGAGATTTATTTTTTCGTGTGCAAAAATCGATTTCGGAAACTGTCTCACACCAATAACAAGTGAAAGTGAATAAATAACGAAAATGAAACTATAAAAATTGGTATATGAAAATTTTTATCATAATTTCTGCACACTAAATACTTTAAATATTAATTGAAAAATTAAAAAAAAAAACTTACAAATTATTAAATTAAGTGAATATCATACGGTAATAAAGTAAAAAGAAAATTACGAAAGAATATATTTTACATAACTATTCAAAAAACAAGCAATTTGAGTACAAAACTAAAGTACAAATTAGCACGAAAAGCGAATAAATACGTTTGTGCATTAAGAAACCATAATAAAATATATATTGAAATATAAACAAATATATACATAT